CCATGCCCCTCCCTCGTGTCTGTAAGACTGTGCTCTTTAATTGAATGTGCTTAAAGCAGCAAAAAATACGCAATTAAATGGTCAGCCCACTTCGGTGGACAGCGGTCAGTGCGTGGCGTTAAGGGTACCGGCTGAAAAGTGTGCCAGAGCCATCAGAGCGCCCTCAAGTGACGACCTTCCCGGACAGACACCCAATCCAACTGCGAGATAGACAGTCCGACAGTTTGTCATTTCTGTGCGCATTCACTTAAATGTCGAAATAAATTAACAACACGGCGAGCGGTTTTTGCATAAATGTCAAAGGAATAACCGAAATACACACTGATCCGCAAACGTGTGTATCTCTCAGATTCTTCGACTAGTTGAGCGCCAGAGGAGACAAAATTTCTGATTTGGAGCATAGCAAGATGTGCCCTCAGGATTAACAATCTATTTCATCAATGATGCATGCAAATCCAATCAAAGTTTTTCAATTAAATATAAATGTGCGAATACACCTTTCGGCCGTTCGATTTTCTCTGTATATTTTATATATAGTATAGTATTTGCTTGTACGAGTTGGCAACTGCAAAGCAATCAGCAAAATTTGTATTGCATCATAAAACAAATCCTATTTTGCTGCAAACCAACTAAAACCAAACAGAATCATCGACATATTGAGTGCGATTTTTTATAAAAGTTTTCTGCGCTTATCCCAGAATCATTTTTTTTCGCGAATAAACACAGTGCACTCAATTATTTTGCCAGAGACAAATAGTTATTTCGCACATTTTAAACAACATATAAAGCAAATAAAAATATGCTATCAAAAAGTGAAAGATCTGCTTACAATTATAGTGACTGATTAAAGAGTTGGAAAATTATCATCAATAAGTTTAGTGAATATGTCAAGCAGGAAAAAAAAGTATGTTTAATCGATTTTTGATTAAAGTATACGAATGTACTCACCAGAGTCTAAACTAAAAACAGCCTTTTTTAGTGCTTCTGTTTAAGAGAAAGACTAACAATTACATAACTTCTGAATGGCTGTATCCAGCTTTTAAGCTAAAGGCCATAGTTGAACCCATGTGAAAATAAGAAATTATGAAAAACTGGAGTGTCGGAAGCTTAAACATAAATTACTTCCTTAGCAGACGCTATTTCAATATTTTTAATTCACGTCTAGATTCTTCAGCGGCATCAATTGGCCTACAAGCTACCTGGCCTGGCACAGAAATGTTGCTGATTAAGTTGTTGCCGCAAGTAATTTGCGTCAAGTGAGGCGCAGACTCTCAGCATGTGTCACAGTACAGTGAATAACCGTGCATAAAGCCAGTAAACAACAACGAAACAAAGCGGAACACTAAAAGCCAACAACGTGCGACAATTACAACCGTAAATTATGCCAACAAGAGTCCGCTGCGGAGACTCTGGCAACCACTGTCTCCCCCCTCGCCATTGCACAACATCTTTGGGAATGTTGCAACGCCCCTCGCTTGACTACCCACAACTTGGACGTTGCGACGTGACCACAAAAGATGAAAACCAAGTGCAACAAAATGAAGCGCGACAACGACAACTCAATTAAGTAAATGAGTGATAACCAGGCGATGATGTTGCTGCTTTTGTTGTTATTGCGAGTAATTTTCATTGTTGTTTATAAACACTAGTTATGTACATAAAATGGATAATTAAGAGATGGGTAAGAGGACTTAGACACTTATCAGAGCTTGGAAAACCCATTACGATCATAATGAAAATCTTCTGAAATTTCGCCTCCAAAAAGGCATAATAGTTTTGTGCGGATGTATATAATAGTCAGAAGGAACAATATCCGACCCCATAATGTATCTTATGTCCGCTGTCAAGAATATTTATATACTTTACGTTTTTGTCAATTTTTCAACTCTCTGCACTGCACATCACGGGGGACAATTGACAATTGGCTACCAAGTGTCGATTGATTCTGCCAGAACTACAAGGCTGCACAAAATCACGCATACATCGACAAACATTTCTGTGTTCTACTGCTTCGTTCCCTCTGTTTTACAGATTCAAAAATCTGTTCCTTTATATTTATACGAGCATCATAAAATGTAAAGACTTAAAACCCCGATGGATTCTCAATGTTAGGAGACCTTTCCTATATATCAGGCCTTCTTCGGCGTTAAAAATACGTTTATTGTAAATCGAATTTAAAATAAGCAATCATTAATTCAATCCTATCTCTGATGATGAGAAATATATTAAAATAATATTATTAAAAAGTTCGGATAGTCAATATTTGACGTAGTATGGAATTACCAATTATGTTTCTATTTATCTCTAACACGAATACTGATTTGCTGAAAGCTTGAATATGTTATTTTCTAATTAATCTGTAATAGCACGTTGTATGGATAAGTTGAGTTTAAAATGCTTCGTCCTTTCATTTTAAACGTAAATTAAAATTGACAACCAACGCAGGGCCAACAATTAGCAGGTCTCCAACAAAAATGCGAGAAACGGATTACTTAAGGGCAGGGGACAACATAACTAACGCTCTCTGCATCATGCAAAGTCAATTAAGCGCGGCGAGAAAATGGCCGGCGCACATATCTACACACACGCATACACACCCACACACACACGAGGTCACACGCGACGGGGCGCCATTTTGTAGCCTGCCTGCCGCCATTCACATAGTTGAGGCAAATTTGCCACATGCATGGCGAAGAAATAAAATTGAATGAAATGAATTGAAATGTAAAGGAATGAAGGCTGGTAATGTGTGGTGAGGCCCGACTGTCGCTGGTGGTGGGGGGATGGGCTGGCTATGCCTGTTTGCAAAAGTTTTAAAATTCGTTTAAGCGAGACTTTTAATAAACGCGAGCCGACCATTGAAAAGACTTGGGCACTTCTATGGTAACTACTTATTTATGCTTTGAGGGAAGCGAAAGTTTTTTGATTTATGGGCATACACACACCCGTGTACACACGCATGAGCGCAGAGTTTGGCTGTGTTGAAACTTTTAGAACAGAGCAGCGAGCCCAAAATGACATTTCCGGTTAACGCTGGCGCAAAATTCCAGCAATGTCGCGTTTATTTTTGGCCCACTTGCTGACATGAACGTCACACTGGATGCACGCCCATTGAATGCTTACGCCCTCATATTGTGGTCATTGTTTTTGTTGTTGCTGTTAGCAATGCTTTTGTCATGCAATTTGTGTGCTTTCTTTTGTTTTTACTTGACGGGGTATTCGCTGTTGCATTGGCGAAAATGTGGGCGTGCTCTGAAATAGGTCGATTGGCCTGTAGGTCATCCCCAAAAATGCATTACATATGTAAGCATGTATCATGTATGCATATTAGCTAGTCGACATGTGCTTGAGTTGGATATATAGTATATATAGTCAGGCACGCTGACAGGCAAAACGCGTACGGAAATTATATAAGCTCACTTTATGCCGTTAAGGTTGACTTAGTACCCCGACCCCAATTAGGGTTCAATTCAGTGCTCCATTTCTGTGCTGCTTCCTGGCAAGCTTGTCGGTGGCCCCAAAGCGGAAGTTGGGCAAAACTAGTCGGCCCAGTCGCCGACTGGCTGGCATGTGATAAATAGTCGACGTCTGATTCTTGGCAAGCTGCCTGGCAAATATTTGCGCTAGCTTCAACTATAAGGTGATAAACTTGGCATAATGCAATATTTAGTGTTTGAACAGGCATTTAAAAGGCTATACATACTTATATTGCAGTTTTGCCATTTCTACGCTGCCACCAGCATCGCCATCATCATTATCTTCATTCACATCATCATCGTCAACCAGTGTTTGCCCAGTGATGATAAGCTTTGAAATGTTTTGCACACTTTTGCATATGCAAATGTAAGCCACACAAAATAAGTATCTGGGCACCGTCCACTGCTTGGGAGCATTTAAACTGTGCTCATAGATAGTCAAAGTAACAGACACACACGCACATATCGTATGGGTCCTTGGAATGTGCTTACAAGATTGAGCTTCTTGATTAATGTTGCTGGCGCTTCTTTCCAGCTTGAGGTTGCCCAGCTGGAGATATGAAGCATTGGCCAAGTTGTTTTATCTGATAAATAGTAGATGGAATTTGGATGTTTGCTTGCCAACGGACAGTGAAGAATGATTTTACATACGTTATGTACTCTCTACATTTTATTTGCAAACATCCATTTAATGCATGAAATGGCATTCGTACTGCTCGAAGGAATTTCTTTTCTAAATTCGTTAAGATATGAAAGAACTTTTTAATAAGGATATGCAATCCAATTTAGTTGTGCATTGACTTTTAAATTAAGTTGAGCATACCCATATTAACATATGCTAATATAAATCTTATAAATTAATTTGCATATACTTTTTTAAGGCTAGCATAGATTTAATGAAAATACGTAGAATATAATTGAACATATGTGCATTTATTCAATACGTATTTAATATGGCTTTTCTTTTCCAACTTAGTTGGAGTGTGGTTTGTTTTATTCTGGCCTGGGCCTGTTCAAACATACCTCGCATCTTGTCGAAGGCACAAAGGACGCGCTTGACTAGATTCGCAGAATTGTCATAGAATATTTAGGCTTTCGTGCTGTTTACTGTTTTTGACAAGCCGCCACTTATCGTTACCATTATTCGCCTCTGTAATTTAAGCATAAAAGATACGCAAATTGCAATTTCAATTGATTTGGTACTTTAAGTAACGTATGTTCATATTAATAAATATTTTTTCTCCATAATTGACCAAGCGTCATTTTCGTGCTAGCTTTGACTTTGGCTTAAGCTGGTTTCTCATATTCTTTAACAAGCGTGTTTCCTACATATAAATGTCCATTTTTTTTTTTTTGTCTGGGTGTTAAATTTTAATTGCAGCTAATTTTCTGTTACTTTACTTAGCAACTTTTATCAGCGTGAGTTTTGGTTAATGATAGCTTAATTTAAATATTTACAATATGTATGTTTATGTACATCTTAATTTTACTTCATTAAAGGCGGCGTTTGGCCAGGTCTTTTTAAAACAATCATCAATTATAAACTTAAGGAAGGATTCATCCAATCATCTTCCATTAATTTTCCACATTTGCGTGTGACATATTATAAAAATTGAGCTTTCTGCACGTTGACGACCGATTAGTCAGTAATTAAAGCAATATTTATAGATAGATATACAGACCCTTATGTTGGTGTCATTGCCTCCAGTCTTTCTTGTTGATTGAACTGTGAGTAAGTAAGCGTAGGGCGTGATATTCAGTATTGCCTACGCAATACTAGTATTACTTTACTCCTATGAATACATCCTGAAGAAGCGGGACGATGAGCGCATATTCGGCTTGGCTCAAATTTTTTATTGCGTTGGGAAATCGCTGGAGATCATCAAAATAACAATACATACTGACGGTGAGACATGAATGCGGTTGTTCCATTTCAAGTCCGAGTAGCACTTACCACAGGGTCAGTGTACCTTGTGTTCCCTTTTTGGCAAACAGTGTTAAGATAAGCACTGGGCAATAAACTCATTACTGCTACCGCATTGAAAGATTTCGTTTGCATTTTCACTCAGCTAGTGGATTTTCCAAAAACAATTAATCACTTCTTTAGTTGAGTTTCTCACAGATCTTACTGTAGTTCTTTTGTAGTTTGGACTGCACGTTGATCATTAATCAGGCAACATGTAATTCAAAAAAAGACGTATATATATTTAAATTACTCAGTTGTGCCTACAAAATAACTAACTTTATTTATGTGTATATTAAATCTTGATTTGTTAAATATCGAGATAAAATCTTTTAGCCGAGACAAAAACATTTTCTTTTCATATAAATATAATTATACTCACACAATCTTATAAATGCCACTCTTGCTTTCTAGACTGCCGCATTAGCATGATATTATCGAGTGCTGATTTCTCTATTAGGCATGTTAAGCAAAATAAATATTTCAGTTAATTACTTTGAGTTAGCTGGCGAGCGAACTGTTCTTCCTGTATTTGCTCAGTAATAATTTGTGCATGCAAATGAAAGATGCTTGTCATATGCATACCCAGCTTTCTCTCACTGGCACACATGACCTTTGAATGTGTTCAATGTGTATACACTGTAGGCAGATATATTTACCATCTCACATAAATATATGTACAATATTTACACACATACACATCGAGTCGTAATAATGATCTGTTGGGGGCATTAGGCAAATTATATCAAAATAAATCAATTGCCCATTTGGTGCTCGACTTCTGCTGCTGGTGCTGTTTTGCCATTATGGTCTGTGCTCTCACTACCCACCCTTAATGTTTATACAGTGCACTATATATATTGACATACATATATGTGCATACATATGTACAAATTTAGTTATTCATGGGTATGTACTACGTATGGTTAGAACGCACTCGCTTATAGACACACCACGTCGAATCTATATGCACGATCGTGATCTCGATGCGATCGTTTCACACATAATGCTATGGCACGCGCCCCGCTCCAAGCTTCCAGTCTCCCTGACGCACGTGAGCAGATCGCACGAGAATAGAGAGTAAGAACGTGTGCGAGAGTGGGATTAAGAGCGAAACTGTGAGAGAGAACGATGCAAATGGTGCGATCTTGCTATGGTGAGAGCAATGTAGGGGTTTATTTTTAGGATAACAATGCCGCAACAGCATTGGGTAGCAGGAGCGAAATTCAACATTTCAGTATTTGGGGAAAATCGAGGAAAATTTTCAGAGCTGCAGCCAGTCGACCGGATAGAGCAACGCGAACAAGGTGGCAAACGGCAACGGCGGCTAAAGGCCAGAGCGCGAAATATATACATAAGTATATGTATAATTTGAGAGATACATATACAGAATATAGCCCATGGTATATATACATAAGTCTTATACTATATATGGAGCAATATTAAAGTGAAGAATTCTCAGTTTGACAAAAGCGAAATGTGAAAATTGACGTTGTACGATACGTATTTGTGTGTGTTGTGTGTCTTTGTGTGTGCGTGTGGGGTGGGTTGGTCATGAAAGTTACATGCCCCACCGTACAACAGCGAAAAAGAAATCAAACTAAAACAAATCTACATTCGAGGTAAATGCTTACATATTAAAAGTACATATCTACCATATACATATATATGTATGTGTGCTCACTTACTTATCATGCCGAGACAACAGGGACTGGCAGTACTAGTAAAAAAAATACCCCAATTGTACGATTGCCTGTGTATGTGTGCGTGTGTGTGTGTGCGAGTGTGTGTATGCATGTGTGTATCTATGTATAACGGCGTTATCCCGAGAAATTACCCCGCTTGATTCTTCTAGAGAAGACCGAAGTTGCTTCCTCGTTCGTGTGCTATTTAGTTGGGTATGTTTTTGTCGCTGGCGCTTTTACTTTTCGTTGCTGGTCGGCTCTTTTGCTCGAATAAAAATTCCGCTTGCGTGTTAGCTGAAAGTTATTTTTAAAAATTTCTTTTAATTTTTTCTCATTTACGAGATACGAGATTTTAAATACAGACGACGTTGCTGTCGATAGTGTTCTATGAGAATTTATTTTTTCAAAACAATTTTTCCGCCTTTGGTTGCATTAATACCAACATATCCGTATCTTGTTGAGAAAGTGTGCAATAACCAAACTATTTACAAATTAAATGAATTAAAAAGCTGAAAACTTACCCAAAATTATTTATAACTAGGTTGCACATTATTTAACCATTACGGATACAGCCTAGCTGTGCCCGAAGAAAGGGTGGAGTGGAAGCTGCTTGCCCCGTCGGCGTTTCTTTGTTCAATGAATATAGGTTGTAAATATAATCGTCTTTGTTCATATTACGTATACGCAATGTACGATTTCAGTCTGTCTGATGTGGGGATGTGTTTCAGAATATACATTTTAATGCTTTGTTCCTTGCAAACCACTTTAGCTATAATTAAAAATAAATTGTATAATAATTAAATTTTTCAAATTTCTATGTGCCAAATGAATTGATCAGGGGAATATTGGTTAATTTTTAAAGATTATTTATATATTAATATTGCCTTAGAACATAAAATTCGTGAACTACTTAATTGGATGTGCAACATTGCTGATCTTCTATTCATTATGATGTCCCTTTTAGCTGTTTCTGGCAATAACATGTAGACAAATTTGATAACTTTTCTGTTGTTCAAACATTTTCAAAATGGCAATTAGGCCAAACATTTACGTGTCTGCCGACTGCCAAATGCAGTATCCGTGAAAGTGGACAGCAAGACGAATAACAACTGCAACATGAGCAACAACGAGTGCAGCAACAACAAGCAATGGCAATGGCAGCAATGTCACAACTCAAGTGTCAAACAAAAGGCGACGATGGCAATGGCATAGACAGCTACAAAAACAGTGCGATAGAGATAGAGAACCAGGGAGTGAGATAGATGCCGCCTGAATAGAAATGAGATAGTGGGAACGCTATTTTCAACTATTTGGTCTACTAATATAACCAGAACCAAAAACAATGCGATTATAATTCAAGAAAAAACCATAGATTTCGGTTTGCTTCAGATTCAAAGAGTCATTCGCAACTTCTCACTAAGCAGCTCATAGCTAAAGTGGAAATCCAACGCGAAACTACAAAACGCACTCATTAAAAATTCAAATTGCAAACAACAACTAAACCACAAAAAAACAAAACAAAAATAGAAGAGTGCTCAAATCGAAAGTGTCAAGCAAGGAGATACCCTATACGTAGTTTCAGATTGCTTTAACGAAAATGTATAACTATTTTAGACCGAAACACAAGCACAATTAAGGCAGCCACTATACTTCTTCCCTCAGCCCCATACTATAGAAAATATATACATTCTAGTCCAATCCAATCCAGTGCATAAGCCACAAAGCAAGATTATACTGTTGAACTGTTTTTGTTTTGTTTTCATACATACATTAAAAGCCTTAGCACTCGTAATTACAAGATATGTTGTCGATACTAATCGATTGCGAAATATGTGTGTAGTATTCCAGATAACTTTCCACATTCCACATTCCGAATTTGAAGTGCCTAAGTTAAGAGGCTTCAGATCATCGCTTTCGTAGACTGACGCACTTAGAGATGGGCATGGCTTTCATCATGGATGGCGATTATGTATACTTTATCAGTGATTATACCTTTCTTTTAACCAAACACAGGGTATGAAAAGCCAGCAAGAGCAATACAGTGCATGAAAAATGAAAACTCTGCTCAGAGCTGTTTTTGCACCGGCATAAAGAGCAGAGCGTAAAATTCTTGTTTTCCCCAAAACACACACACACAACACAGACGGCTGACGGCGTTTTCTGATGCTGTTATTGTTGTACTCAGGGCTAGAAAAACTTTTTCAGCATATGGCGGCCGCCCATTGCAAGTCAGTTGTGGGTGTAAGGGGTATGTGGGTGTGTTGGTGTGCCAACTTTAGTGCATGGAAAGGAAATGCTTGACATGTCTTGCTCGTTCTGCTTCCTCTTTTATGCTATTTTATTTATTTTCACATTTTTGTTTCTGTTTTTTTTTTTTTTTTTGTTTGGCCACTGGCATTAACAAACATTTTTTTTTTTTTGTACTCAACATTTTAATTATTTATTTCATGAATGTTTTTTATCTTCTGCCTTTGCCTTTGCCTTTCTCTTAACTTTTGTGTCTTCGCACTTAGCTTAACTTTTCTTTTATCGCCTTTAAAGTCATGCATCTCCGTCTAGTCAAACGTATTTCATCTTATTAATGATATAATTCATAATTTCTTTGTGAATCGCACCCGCACAGAAAGTGCCAAATTAATAATAACAATAAATTGTCTGATTTATTTAACACAATTAATGTCCATGTTTATTTGGTTTATGTTGCGTTCATTGAACGTAGATTCGAGGCCAAGATATTCTGACTTATTGACACATAAAATTGCCGGTAATCGTCGCAAGAGACATTTCATTTATTAATCGACTACCCAATAAAATTTGTGTGTGTACATGCGTGCATATATATAAAATCGTATGATTCCGAAATATTTTTGTATTTAGTGCAAAGATTTGAAGAAACGGGTGTTTTCAGTTGCCGATTGTGAGATACAATCAAAAGTTCAATCAATTTTTCAGACTTTAGATACATGGTCATAGGTCAAAACTAAAGTTTTCTGTACAAGAAAAAAACTTCAGCACTTTCATTTGTTTGTTTGTGAATGCTTGCTAAATATTTGTGAGTTGCCTACCGCATTTTCTTCTTATCTATGAAAATAACCATTTACCTGTGCAAAATTTGAATGACTTGGCTTTTAATATTTTTTACAATATTGTAAAACCATCGAGTGAATAGCCGAGAGTCAGAATACTTTGTTTATTGTTATGCAATGTTCCCTGCATATATGAAAGTACTATGTACTTACTTCATATTCATATATACTTACTTCATATTGCAAGGTGCATTAATAGGCCAATTAAATTTTCCTCACGCATCAATGCAACTGTTTGCTCCCCACCCACCAATTTAATAATGTTGAATATTCAAATACACATATCCGCTCCGATGGCCACTTCCTACTTCCACGAGCAATCAATCAATAACCTATCGATTACATACGCAATTGTAAACATGAAAACTGTATTGTCCATTGAGATATTAGGCCGTTCTAAGGCATTTGCTAAGAAGCTTGTGAGATAATTTTTCCTTCAAATAATATATTTTGTCTCAATTGTAAAAAAGAAATAATTATGTTCGAAATTTTTTAAAAGAGCACACAAATTATAATTTGTGATATGTCTGCCTACTCTTCGTGTCTTCCGTCTCAATCCACTGATTAAGGCTTGGCATATAAAGCATATATCAACAAACAAACCGAGTAACCATTTCATTATTATTATTTTGCTTTTTTCTTAAATTCATTACTTGTGACTTTCAAAAGGACGCAAAAGGAAATATTTAAGATTTTTAGCTGTACGTTGGTTACACTTCAGTCAGTCAGTTAAATATGGATGAATAGCAAAAGCAAATAAATTGGTTTAACAATAGACAAAGATTCTTTTAATGGATTCGTCCTTAAATATTGATACGTTAATTTGTGTGTACATGCATAAGCACCGCAAATACAAATAATTTGTCAGATATTCAATTCAATTATATTCAGGAATCGATTTATTTTTGCAGACCAACAACAGCAACCACAATTTTTTTATCGACAGTTTATGGTCATTCAAAAATGTATGCGATTAAATGGAACGATTTTCGCTTGGATTGATGTGCTCATCAGTGCAAGAACGATATATCTCTGTTAAGGGCAATGCCAATTTGAATGTTTGAGGATTATACAACAGGGAATGTGCGACAGGGATATGGAACTCTTATAGCAGCAAATGTGGCGCTCAACTTGACCCAGATATAACATTTCATTTGCATATTTATATGGCCGCCTGTTATAATTCTTATTGTCGTTGTTGTTGTGGCTTTCGTTCGTCCTGCTCTGTGGCAAGAGGCAAGGGTACCAGCATCGGTAACCAAAAAAAAAAAAAAAAAGGAAAATATTTTCCCTTGACGTAAACGACAACGATGCAAGAAATTCCAAACTGACGGAAAAGCGAGCGCAGATATTTTAGCAACTTTGCCTTGGTATGCCATGGCATGGCACAGCATGGGTTGGGATAAGATGAGATGAGGGGAGGTGAGAGGAAAATGCGTTGCTCGTGTTTATCTCTGATGGCTGCCTGTCCAACTTTGGCTCCTCTGGCCGGTGCGCCCATTGCTTGGCACGTAGTTAGTTGTTGCGCTATCTGCCCAATGACATGTGCTGAGTTCTGTGTGCCAAAAAACAAGAACACTGGACGCCGCGAATTGTTATTGTATCTTGCAGATACACAAATTGAATTGCCTGAAGTGAAAATGAACGAGCAGAGTTCAGCGCACTTTAAAAAGTGTTCGTTGCACCGCACAACCGCTCAAAGAACCCCAGAAGCCGCAAGATAGATGAGCGCTAATACAATTGCGTGCCGAGATTAATTTATTTATTCCTGTTGAGCACGCGCCCCCAACGCATTTGTAATGCATGTGCCAGTATCTCAAAGATAAACCCAGTATTATACGCTGTGACGGGTGTGTGTGTGTGTGTGCGTGTGCATGTGTATGTCTGGCTGTCTGTAAGTGAGAGTGTGACTCGTGCCAGGCGCTGCACATGGCTTGCAGCGGATGTCTTTACTGCTGCCTGGCGTGCTACTTGTGTGTATAGCTCGTGTTTCTTAGGTTACTCTTAACTGTAGGTCTGGTTGGTTTCGTACCCATGTCTGCAACAGGCACAAAGAGATGTCTCCGATTCCATAAAGTTTCTTGATTGGTATATCAGATCGTCCTTCAGTTCTCAAGTCAATGTCAATTGTTTAACTAATTATATAAGTAAAATTACATATATATAATTATATATAAATAAAATTTAAACAACATAGATCCACCAATCTTTAGTCGAAAAGTGTGTTATTGTGTAGAAAATGGTTCTCTTTCAAGGTATATTAGTAGTAATGAGCTTCAATATTCTCCTCACTTGCCGAAAAATCCATGTTAAATAATATAATGAATAAAGTAAAGAAAAACATTTTCTTGAAGGGTGTTTAGTCATCGAAGTGCCTAACATAGGTGTTCTTTCTTGTTCTGCTCTGTTTTTATATGTATTCGTTTGTTGTGGTTACACTCTAGTTTAGCGGCCATCAAGTGCACATTTATAATTGGAGCATTGCCAAGCAACGTGCATGTCGATCCCTTCCGTGGGGCATTGCTCCGCTTCTAAGTCATAACTGTCACAGGCAAGTGCTTAGATTCTCAAACTTACTTGCATAAGTATTCATGTATATGTATGTAGTACAGTGCACTTGTATCTAATAGCTTCGCTCCTGCACAAGGCTGATGTATTAGGTTTCTAAAATCAGTAACGAAACAAACACAATGGGGGCACTCACGGTGACATCGATATTAGCGTCCAGTGCGAGTCATTCACTTGACTGTTGTGCCCCTCCCATCCACCACTGGCATGCCTCGCCTGATGCAGCTTAAAGCGTGACAGGACAAAGAGTCAGACAAACTGGTACACTAATATATTTGGGGTGTTGGGCGTTAGTCTGGTCGTGAAACTAAATCTGTATAAATATTCCCTTGGCGGTGCTCATGCTTTGCTGGGCATAATCTCAGATGAATTTATGTTATCACAACTGATGATATTTACTTTTTTTCTTTCTTAAAAATTACAATTTTAATTTTTATAAACTATAATTTGGTTTTAAAATATGGTTTTAAAAAATGCTTAATGTTTTTATAGCCTGAACACATTAAAAATGGGTATAAGGGTATATTGTATTTGTGCAAAATCCAAATGTATGTAACAGGCAGAAGGAAGCATCTCCGACCCCATAAAGTAAATATATTCTTGATCAGCATCAATAGCCGAGTTGATCTAGCCATGTCCGTCTGTCTGTCCGTCCGTCCGTCCGTATGTATGAACGCAAGGATCTCAGAACCTATAAGAACTAGAGACTAGATGCTCCTAGTTCCCGCGCAGATCAAGTTTGTTTCCGATAATCGATAACTTACTCCGTTTCCAAGCAATCGATAAAAATCGATATCGATATCATGTTTTTTGGGCAATTTCGGTAAATAATAAGAGCTAGAGTCACCAAACTTGACATATAGCTTCTAAAATAGAATATATATATGCATTTGATGTTGGAAGAAGAGGGTTCAGGGTATCCCCTAGTCGGGAGCTCCCGACTAGAATCTCTTACTTGTTTATCTTGGGTTCTGTTTTGATTTTAAACTTCATCACAACTATCTTACACATTGTATGCTCGTAATAAAAGGTTATAATTAATCTCATGGTACTGTTCCTTTGTACTCGGAATGCAAATTTAAGCTTTTGCAAATTTTCTCGTCTTGCGACTAATTTGTTGCCTTGCCTTAGCATAACCAACAACTAGGTCAAAGGCCCTGTCATGCCGGTGCTGGTTTCATCTCGGTGGCGCATCGTGGATAATTAATTGGTTGCCCGTTTGATTGAACGTTTGATGGATGAGTGCAGCGACGTGTGTGTTCTGTTTTTGCCCATGGCAAACTACATATTTGCTTTTGGTACAAGTGAACTATGTATATACTAACAGACCTGCCCTTTTCCTGTTTCATTTGCAGTAATTTGACTCGACAACAGACACAGCCACAGCCACAACCACAGCCACAGCTATAGCCATGGTGATAAGCAAACCCGACTCGTCGACGAATGGGGCGGCGGCGGAAGCGGCTGCAGGTGCAGCTGCAGGTCTGGATGCTTCTGCGAATAGCATGGGACATAGGTCGGGCATACCACAGGATCAAATAGACAATATTTTGAGCGGCATATCCAACACGGGGGATGTCAAAATGAACAATCATCGCAAGAAGCTGCGACAAAGGTAAGCAATTCTTCCGTCGTCAATTTAAATACTACAGTTACATGATCGTTGCAGATTTGATATTATTAAAAAGTTAGGTCAAGGCACATATGGCAAAGTGCAGCTTGGTATTAATAAGGAAACGGGCCAGGAGGTGGCCATCAAAACGATAAAGAAATGTAAAATTGAGGCTGAGGCAGATCTCGTGCGCATTCGACGGGAGGTGCAAATCATGAGCTCAGTGCAGCATCCCAACATTATACACATATATGAAGGTATTTAATTCTTCCACGTGGAACACTATGCAACATTATGTTTATCTTAATATGAGTAACTCACTTACAGTATTTGAGAACCGCGAGAAAATGGTGCTGGTCATGGAGTTTGCCGCTGGCGGTGAGCTATACGACTACCTGTCCGAACGCAAGGTGCTTAGCGAGGAGGAAGCACGTCGCATTTTTCGTCAAGTGGCTACGGCCGTCTACTATTGTCACAAGCACAAGATATGCCATCGCGATCTGAAGCTGGAAAACATACTGCTCGATGAACAGGGCAACGCCAAGGTAACATTCGAATACTAAATTGTTACAATTCATAATTAGACATTAAAACCTATTTTTAATATACCCTATACCTAATTTGAGGTGTATACCATATAAATATCGTATTATTTATACGGACAAATTATTATTCATACATTAAATGTACTAGCGCTCGTTTATGATCCTAGTAGCTACTGTCAAGTATAGCCTTTATGCATTTAGATAAGCTAATAAGTTAATAGTCCACAGCTAATCCTTTGGAGTATTTGTAAATTCTTCTCTAACAGATTGCCGACTTTGGTCTGTCTAATGTGTTCGACGATCAGCGCCTGCTCGGCACTTTCTGCGGGTCACCATTGTATGCCTCGCCGGAGATTGTAGAAGGCACACCCTACCAGGGACCCGAGGTGGACTGCTGGTCCTTGGGCGTGCTGCTCTATACTCTAGTCTATGGTTCCATGCCCTTTGATGGTTCCAACTTCAAAAGACTTGTCAAACAGATCAGCCAAGGCGACTACTATGAGCCACGCAAGCCGTCACGTGCTTCCACACTCATTCGGGAAATGTTGACGGTGTCTCCACAGAAGCGAGCCACTATCGAGCAGATTTGTTCGCATTGGTGGGTGAACGAGAACGACAATGTCTCCTGCCTTGATTTGGCTGAGGATTTGGCTAATCAAACGCCGGTTCGCCTCGATGTACTCCTGTCACTGACACCTGCTGCCATTACCGCAGATCAGCTGGTGGTACCATCGGCAGAGGGCGCAGCAGCCGCAGCAGCAGCTGCCAAGGCTGCGGCCAATGAACGCGTTCAACGCTCGCATTCGGTGGGCTCCATACGTGATATTGGTGGGCCCAACACAGAGGCAGAGCGTCGCATTCTTGACATGGTTGCTGGTGAGTTGAATCGAATATCAAATACTACATTCATCATGCTTGCAAAGACCATAAGACCCTAGAGCTCCTCCGTGCACAATTTTGTATATATTTGTATATTGTAAAGTGCTGTGAACTAACTTGGCATACACAACAATGTGCCCTGTCCACCAACTAACTGCTGCTGCTCATGCGGGTTCCCCGTTCCACCTCCGTTACCCACCTAACGATCAAATATACCACACTCAAGTGCACTAAACAACTTGAAACCAAATTCATTTAACCACACTCATTAAACCACGCCTCCCTTTCTCTCTCTCTCTCTCTCTCTCTCTCTCTCTCTTTGTCTCTTTCTTTCTTCTGGTGATTATCACGCTTTCCTAGCTGGTGGTGAAGCTGCACTGATGCCTTCACCCACACGCACCATAACACCCGCCCAGAGCCCCGTGCAAGCCAAGCGCAAGCTGCAGCCCACGGTTTCCACCGAGAACGCTGCCGGCACTACGGCCAAAAAGAAGGAGAAGCCGGCCAACAGTTCATTTGTGGTCAGCGAAGCCACAGCACCATCACTTGCGCCACCAACACCAACTGCACCACTTGCGCCAACACCAATAACTGCGCCCCAGGCTATGGAGACTGAGAGCTTTACCCCTGCTGACGAGCAGTCAACGTCCACGACGGCGCCCAGCTACTCCCCACAGGATATGCAGCAAGTTGGCAATCTATGCGAGCAACTTATTAGCGAACCAGTTGCACCACTCGCCAATGCGTTACCGCGACAGTCTACACGACCCAAACTAGATGCGGTCGTAGAAACACCCGAGGAGAAGGACGCCACTAAAGTGATAAAAAAATTTGTGAACAAACACAAGACCGCCGATTTGGTGAATGCGATCAATGAGAGTGCCACAGGAAAAGCCACGCCCAGCAGCAATTCTGCATCGCAGCCGCCCCCCCTAGCACCCTTCGTCCGCAAGTGTAGCCTGCAAGACGAGTCCACACTCAACAAGTTCAATGCGGATCGTCGCAAGTCGCGCATCCTAGAAACAGCAGAAAAGTTTCAACCGCCGCCTCCAATATCGACAGCGCCTGAGAAGCCTAAAAAGCTCAGCATACCCGGCGTTAGCGTAGGCAGCTTTAAAAAGGAGTTCGAGCGCAAGGCCATAAACCCGACTCCTGTGGCCGGACCCACACCAGGTGAGCGTCGCGCTCAGGAGCAGGTGGCCGCCGCAGCTGCCGCGGCTCAAGAGGCTGAGGCACAGGAAGCCTTGGTCACTCCACCACCTTCGCCAGTAGTGTCTGGAACTCTAGAGGCCAGCGATTCTAAGAACTCTGTGTCCTCCATTTCGCTTGAAGAGGCACGTCGCTCTATGGAGAACTCGATTGCGTTGCTGCGACAGGCTGAGAACGAGTCCAACAAGGAACTGGACCAGCTTTGCGCCCAAACAGAGACGATTGGCGTTAGCGAAATAACAGCGGAGGAGCGCGAGCGTAAGTTGAAGAATGCACGCGCCATAATCGGAAACGCCATACAGCCGGGTAAGTGGCCAATGCAACTGCATGTCCATATATGATAATATCTGATAATGATAAACTAAGCTAAGCCCGCAGCGCTTTCGAGTTGACTACCAGCACTTCTTTATACATTACCAAGCAATAGCGTCAAGCACAAGTCTAGCAGCTAAGCAGTTAAGCGAATTCTTCGAATTCTCAGAATTTAAATTAGAAATTCATCCCAATTTTTACGTTTTCTATCGCTTTGGGGAACCACTTATCCTTATATTAGGCTAAGATACTCAATATATCTGCATTCTGGACCACAATTTCTTCTAATTCTTCGGGTGAGGTTCTTTACAGATTTGATAAGGTATTTTCGGCAATGAAAGCTTCATACAATTGCAATTTATTTTCTCCAGATTAAACGACCGGAATCTTTAAAATCGAAACATTTGCAATAAATATTTTTTTTTATTTTCATAAAAAACACATTAAATCAAATTACTTGAAAATAGAAAGTAAAATTGATGAAAGAAATGATTTTGAATAAAAGAAGATATATAACAGATATAATTGCTAATAAAAAAAATGACTAACAGATATAAATTTCGGTTGGTACTTTACATTTTTTTAGTTTTTAGACTTTGGTTAAAAAATGAGTAATAATAGAAGCAAGGCAAGATCTCAAAGGATTTAATACTGATTTTTTCAATGGATTTTATAGCATTTTACTTACAAAATAAACAAAAAATGATAAAATGTCCCTTCTATGACAGTAAATGGAAAACTTTTGAATGATTAAACTGTTCTTATCTGCTTACTGTTCGAGACTTGTGCATAGCTTTCAGTTGATGCGTCTTGTATTTCCAAATATTTACATAACTATCTCCCCATTGTCGATGTGTATGTAAAACCGTTTGCCAGCGGAGTGCTGCATGGATTATATTTTGGCTTTTGGAATATAATCTGATACACTCACAATTACAAATTGAACCAATTCCAATTGCAACTCGCTTGGTCATGCCAACAGATCATAGTCCCAAAGTAAACAGGGCACATGCAAAACTCATTTCTGTACTGATCATTGTCTCAGATTCACCTGTCCACTCTCTCTCTCTCTCTTTCTCTCTCTCTCTCTCTCTCCCTCCCTCTCTCTGTCTGTCTTTCTGCTCTTTTGCTCTTTAGCATCCACTCGCATAGCACAAGCACATACATCCACATACATTCTCATCATATTCATTGAATCATCATCTTAATTTTAGTGATACGCAGGCCAACACCATTATTTGGCATCGGCAATGGCTTCGGCAGTGGCGCTGGCGCCGGCGGATTTGGGGGCGGTGCAATGTTACCGATGCGCACTGAGAGCAGCAACAATTTCACTGGCAATGTTAGCAGCAACAGCAGCAGTCCAACCAGTGCGCCACCAATTGCTTTAGCAGCTGCTAAGCAAGTGATACAACAGCGACTCTTTTCGGGCGGCGTTCCTGGAGGGACGATAGCGACGCCACAACGGGCGGTCATTTGGCAGCCACAAACGGCGTATAGCACGGCAAGCATATTCCAGCCATTGCCCACAAGCAGTCCATTCAGGCAACTGCAACAGCAGTACCAGCAGAAGTGCCAGGAGGCACAGCAGCACCAGCGATTTGCCAGCAGTGCCTTATTTACGCCACCGCCCTCGCCGCTGTATGCCCCCAGCCATGCCCACGTCCATGCCAGCAGCAACAACAACAACAATACGATGCCAATTATCAATTACAATGTCAGCTCGCGTACGAGACCATTTCATAATCAAGCTCAAGACACTCTTAATACATCTGCCTTGCCTGCGGCTATGTGGCTGAAATGTAAGTCTTGGCAGTGGCTCCACAGTGCCACGCGACGCCCAACTGCACACCTACCCACCTATCTGCTTGCCTGCCTGCCCTGCCCTGCCGTCAACCAAATCCGTTCCGTTCCCGTTGCGTTACCTAACAGATTCCTTGAGGCTGGTTACCTATTGATATCTCAAACTCAGTAATACTCAAACTCACTCATATGGAGCAGATATTTGGATACAAGGAAATAGCTTAACCAGCGTCATAGCATCTGGCGTTTTGTGTGTGTTCCTTTGTAGTCTCTGTTTCTCTCAATCACTGTCACCAAATTGGCCTTTCTTGTTGCCGTTGTCGGTGTCGTTGCTCTGCTTTCTGTTAACCCATAAATGGAATTCACAACAAATCCGAACTGAAACTAAAGCTAATTATTTTTGCTGCTCGTAGAATTGTTTCGCTCTTCTTTGCTGTTGTTGCTGTCTTTGTTGTTGTTGTTGTTGTCGTTGTCATTGTTGTTCTTGTTGATCTTTGTTGTTAGTACATATTCGTATCTGTAGCCGCCTTAGCTGCCGCTAGTCGCTGCCGCTGCAACTTAACTAATTACAAATAAGCGCGCGAACACCCACACCCACACACACGCACATACACCCACACACTCACACCAACACACTCACATCCCCACACGCACACACACACACACACACACACATAAACAATCACACGCTTAACAACCGATTGTTTGGCCCTTGAATACTTCCAAGCCAACACCAACCCACAAGTTGCCATATCTATGCTTCTTGCTTAATTGTTCGTTTCCCAACAGGCCAGGCGCACTATAAAAACGATTAAATAAATGTTTAATAAACTTTAAAATCCCATATACACAGCTTCACCTGGCGGCGATGCCTCATTGGGCAACGCAGTGAAAACCTCTACCGCATCTATTACGCTCAAATCGGCGACGTTACCGCGTCGCAAAATTAATGCCAAATCAGAGGTGCAGCTGGAAATCAAGCCGCGCATTCCTGAACAGCCTCAGCCGGCGATGCGCTTCAGCACCGAGATGCAGCATCCAGTGGCCGACTTGCGCAGTGCGCCACCTCGCGAGGGTCCCATACCATACAGTCCCATCAAAACCTCGCTGCAGACGCGAGCCACCAGCTTAGAGCCCAAAGAGCACATCATAACCATACAGCGGCCACCAACACAACAAGCTTATGGACGCACCAACTCCAACACCACAAATCGGTGAGTGGAACTGCGAAAAATCCACAAATAGATAAGTATCCAATGTCGATAATAATTGTAATTCGTTGCAGTTCTGGTTCGCTGTCACGTCAATCCACTGCTGAATCCGAGACGGAAACAGCAACGACCATGTCGCAATCAACAGTTACTGGCGGTTCGGGCATCTCTCAGCCTATTAAGAAGAGTCCACGCGAAGTAATTATACCGATTTCCGTGGAGGGTAGAGGCTTAATCACGCCACGTGAGCGCAGCATTGAGCCTTCCGAGTCAGTTCACACAACCGCCTCCAGCCGCTCAACATTCAGCCGACTGCGTCCATCGCATCGGATTGGGTAAGGTTCAGTAGGCAGCAAACTTGTCCAATTTTATTTAAGTGTCTTAAACTTTGTTTACAGCTCACTCCTCAGCGAGAGCGGGTTCGATGAGAGCTCGCCATTCCAAAAGATGCGCACAACTTCTATTACTCGTGATGGCGGCGATGATGAGTCGCTTTTTACCCCGCACAGACTTAGGTTTGCAAACACATTATGCATTTCAGTCCATGAATATTTATCAGAACTTTGCATGTTACTTTATTTTCATTTACGCAGGAGCTCGAGGCCTGTCAAGAAAATTAGCCAGGACAACGATTCTCAAAGCTCTGGCGAGGAGGATGACGACGATGGCTTCGAAATACTAACCGCAGAGAACTTATTCTCGACTTTGCTGCAACGTGTAAGTTGATATATTATTCCCGATAAAAATATAACTCTTTATATGCATGTTTCTCCCACTGATCATATTCCATTTTCAGGTGCGTGCTGTTACGAATCGCATGAACGTCAACAGTGACCTTACAGCCGGATTTCCCAGTCATTCTAGTCGCCTGCTAACGGATATCTCGCGGCAGGCACAAGGCCATAGGTCATTCTGGGGTCAGGGCAGTCCCTTCGGCAGGTGAGCGATTGGCCACTAGGCCTGAAGATAGAATTCAATCATTTCATTAAAATCGATTCTGGTACACATACCACGTTATGTATAACAAGTTTTATAATGCTTATGAACGATAACAATTACAATGATTTTGTTATAAATCTTTTACATGCTGCTCTCGAAATACTAAACCTTAAATAACAACTCGAATCATTTGATTTGATAAACGTTCAACTAACAACAAACAAAAGCGAGCATAGGTCACAAGTCAGTTATAGCTATACTCAAACGGTAGAAAAGAAGCAAGTGTAAGTATACAAAGTGGGAGGTAAAGGGGCACAGATTATAATACTTCAACTATTGTCAACTATTATCTATCGACTACTATAACTAAATATTAAAGAACTACATACACCCAGCTATATCCGCCTATGTTTCTTAGGTGCAGACAACGTTTGCTAAAGGTCTTAAGCATTACGAGCCGCATACGAAATTGGTTGATTGATTGGCCTGGTTCCAAATGCTGCCTGTAAGTTGGCCTATTCAATGTGCAAGTCCTTTAGCTAAACGTTGTCCGACATTCCTCACAATCAAATGCATTCAGATATGTTATGCACGCAAACACATTCTTGTGTGTAGGTATGTGCCTATAATAATCATCGTTGGGTCTCATCTCTCTCTTTGACAGCCGCCTCAACAGCGCCGGCAACAGCAGCGGTCTCGGTGCACCCTGGCGTCACAGCATGTCCCGGGACTTGGGTAGCGAAATGGAGTCGATGTTCTCACGCACGGGCGCCACGCTGCCAAGAGGTGAATATCACAGAATAAAGAGTAAATATTTAGATCAGTAGGCAGACAACAGGCAACAGATACCAAGCGAACCGAAGCGAAGCAACTGCAATTCTCGATGCGAACACAACGTAAATCATAAAAATATCAGATCCAAAAGTATGCTACGTAAATAAGAAATTTCAATTTCGATTTATACTTGTATACACATTTCTAGTAGTTGTTGATGTATTCTAAAAACAAAACATAAACAAAAACAAAAAACAGAAACAAATCAACAAAAAAAAATGAAAAAAACACAAACAAAACAAATCAAGTGAATACCTACTACTACTACTACTACTACTACATATATCTACTTATTTAGTATATACAAGTTTGTGCAGCCTGAATACAACCCCTAAAAACCAACAAAAAAAAAAAAACAATAAACATAAGCAATTAATTAAGTGTTTACTGTAATTATCAAATGAAAATGCCAATTAATACTTTGACAAATCCTTTTCTGTTCGATTATGAATTATTTTTAATTTTTTTTTTTTCAATATTCTGTGTGCGCACATCTCTTTAATAGCATATCCATCTCAATAAGATGCGAAACTATCAAAAGTAGTACTCTATCTATCCACCTATCTTTCTATCTATGTTTATCTATCCATTATATCTATCTTTTTATCTATCTATATATCTATTTATTGATCTATTGCTACCTGTCCTAGAGCACAATAACTTTTGTTATTAACCTTTAATGCTGCTGCCGCTTTACAATTTACAAACATACATACATAATATGTATCTACATATATACATACATATATTGCTATATACCTCTTAAAAGAGTCATGTCTAGGCTCTCGTAGCCCAACGAATCCAACCGACTCAGTTAAATGTTTTCTGCGTATTGTTTGCACAGTTTTTTGTTTATTTATTTATCTATTTATTTTCGTTAAATTTGATTTTATTTTCATTATTTGCTTAACCAGATTTTTTTAATTATTTAATTAAGTATTAAAATGTTATGCAATATTGCAATGATGATAGAAAAATTGTCAAAGGTCGAATGAGATATGAAATCGTATTCAAAGTTTTGAATATCTGCGCAATTATATAGTTATTTATATAGAATTTTTAGCTTGGCCAATTAAACAAAATGCTCAACAAAATATAAGTATGTACATATATACATACATATATATGTATATATATATTTATATGTTTTACAGCTACAAAAATTGTACACACAAATTGAATTAGGAACTACAGAATTTGGCAAATACACGAAATTTCAATTCATTTACATTTACTCGTATGTTATTAAAAATTGTTACAGAAAAATAAAAGAAGAAAATATAACAATAATATTTAATTGTTGACGACAAACAAGATAGGATATGTAATTAATCTTAACAACAATTCAAGAAGCCCGAGCGGCTAAACGGCTACAAATTTAACCCATAAATAATCTTATTACATTTTACAGTGAAAACAATTTTGATGACAATAAAGCGAACCACTTTTGTTTTAATTATATAGAAAGAAACGAATCCAAATCAAATACAGATGAAGAAAAATAAACCATGGCTCTTTTATTTGCAATTACAAATTGTTTGACAACCAAAAGAATTTTGTTAAATAAATATCTACATATACATACATAATACTTTAATTATTGTTGTACAGTTTGCAAATGGCCCCGCTACCTTAAATTTGTTTTAGTTTTACATATATTTATATAAATATATAATTTTTTTTACCATAAACAAAAACCAAAAAAAAAATGGAAAATGCGCTAACCAAGCAAGTTGTTTGAGTTCCAAAGTTCTTGTTTATGTTTTTAGTTTAATAATAATAAAACCAAATTTGTGTTGTACAAGAAATTAATTTATAACACCACTAAGCACACGCACACACACATATATACACAAGCCCACACATGCATTTGAAGCTTATCGATGTAGTTAATATTGTTCACGCTGTTTAATGCTGTGTTTAAGCTGATCAGCCACAATCACAAGCACAACCAAACCCAAAATAAAAACCACAACCGCAACAACAACAACAATAACTAACTTGGTAGAAACACCAAACAAAACTCAAAATCTAAATTCAAATCAAAACCAAAAACAAGTTTCTGAGTTCTGGGCTATTTTAAATCAACAAGAAAAAATGTAATTAATACGAATTTATTTAAAGCAATTGAAATAATGTAAACAAAAAACTATGATTTTTATCCAATAATAAACAGGACACGCTGTTTGAATAATTTAGCAAAGTTAAGAACAACTAAAACAAAAATGTCCAAAACTTTGAATACGATAATGTACAAAAATGTTCAGCTACTAATTGTTGTCATTATTCAGAGAAGAGCAAACATATTTTCTTATCATCAGCAAACAACACAAACTTTCAGCTGCTCTATATTTGTTGTTGTTTTATTTATTTATTTATTTATTTAATTTTTTTGTTTTTTGAAAGCCTTAACGCACTGCAACTTTCATTCTCATACCTTTGTAGGCGCCGTTAACTTGGCTTATATTTTTAATATAACATATTTTGTTGGTTTTATGATTATTTGATTATTTGCAATTTGTTGGCCGTTTACAACATTTCATGCTTATTTCGTTTACAGTTGGTTTATCCTTAACTTCTACCACGCCCACAAAGCATGTTATAACCATTAACAACAGTCCGTTAAATACCACCATCACCAATGCCAATACCAATACCAGTACCAAAAGCAACTCGCAACTGCAACCCGCCATAGTGGCAACGGCCACAAGAACATCACGAAAAGTCGCCGTCGCCGTCGCCACAGCTCCGCAGTTAACCATCAGCCGGGAACAGAGTAAACAAGTGCCACCCAAGACAGCAAAAACCATCAGCACTACCACAACAGCCACAATCACAACCACAAGAAACCTCAAGAAGCCATAAGGCGAACAATGCAAACATTAATTCTGATGCAGATGCAGAGGCAGATGCAAATGCAAATGTTGATGCTGGTATTTTGCGTGGCAGCAACTGGCAAAATTATTTAACTTTTTTGTTTCAGTATTGAATTTCCTATAGATGTTTGTTGTTGATTGTTCAATTTTCAACCTTTAACAATTTTATCGAACGCTTTTAATTAGCCACACATTTAACGTTCAGTATGCGCCCAAAGGAATACTGCAATAAACGTAGCAAATGCTATTACCTAAACGCTTATTTAAGCTTAAAGCACATTAACTTTATATTTTGTTTGTTTTGTTCAACTAAAAACAAATCAAAAATTATTCTAAATTTGGAGATTGTCAATGGGAAAGTATGTGAGAATGAAGAGAGAGAAGAGTGCTCGTAGCGAAGATGATTGTTATAAGTACTAGCACTTGACACTAATTGTGATTTAAATTAATTTTAAAAAGTTTTAGTTATTTATGTAAATGCTCAATTTGAGTTTGATTTAAGATATTCACAGTAAAACCTAAACTACAAACTACAAAATAATCATCGATTGACATCATTTTTCAAATCATTTACTGAACTCAAGCAGGGTATTTCTCCAGCGCAAAGGCTGCTTCAAGCATTACAACTAAGCAATATTTTTATATGCATTCATACATACTCTTACATAACTACATTTAAAGACTAAAACTATTTTATATGCCGATTTGCAAATGAAATAAACATCATTTAACTTGATCAATTGCAAAATACATAAAAACAAAATGAAAAACCCAACAAATTGTTATTTTTTATGTCCTCCTGCACGTGAGCTAATCATTGTTATTGATTGGAACGAATTTGATATTGTTGTATGTTACTATTATAATCTTTTTTTTTATATATAATTGCTTTAACGAGCTAACCCCGCTATGTTACTCTAGATCGATCCAGTGTGCAAAGTTCTTTTGGTTGCAAACATACAAAATGTTTACAGGTACTTCTGGACACCGACTCGGAGTACAGGTACTCAGTTATGTAAGATGCTTGAGTTGTGTGCACTGCAGAGAGGTGGGTAAGCTTTCGAATTGGCCCATCAGCATTCAGCTCACTCCGTGGCGGGAGCCTATGGTTCAGGCTGCTCGAGACTTAAGCGACACCTTTACCTCTACCATTCACAGGTCATCACTTCAGAAGCAGTGCCAGCAAACCTCGATCACCGTCAGGCAATGTGGAGAATGGAGAGGCCCAGAACACTATATATGCGACTGCAACCGTTGGCACTGACGAAGAGCCGCTGGATCTGGCCGACTTGGATCTGTCGCGCTTGCGACTCAGCAAAAAGGATCTGGAAACGCTCTCTAGCATTACCCCAGGCCTACCAAAATCCTTTCAGGAGCAGCTGCTGGCCAAGCTGCCGCCAACGCAGGCCCGCAAATTATCTCGCACGCTAAGCGTGCAGAGCGGCGCTGCAACCACCACTCCGGCCATTAAGTTGTACAAACGCAGCCAGAGCAGCGGTCGTGGATATCTGCCGGAGCAGCCAGAGGAGGATTGCTCACCCAAACCGCAAACGGATGCGCCCAAGACGACAGCAGCCAGCACAGCCATCTATCGACGGAGTTTAAGTCGAGCCCCGAGCCAGGGGCCAGCACAAGAAACGTCTGCAACCGCACAGGCTAACAAAAGCCGCAGCAGCAGCGTATGCCGAGATGACTATGGCAAGTCCTCGTTATGTAGCAGCAGCTACACTAGCGACATTAATGACAAGTATAAATACTATTCTCCATATTTGAGTAAGTCTACCAATGGAACGGCGCTTACGAAGGAGGTGCCGGAAAAGCGTTATAGTGCTGCGGTGGGGCGTCCACCAAGCGGCTACCTGTCGCCGCCGCCACAAGGTACCAGTGAGGCCGTGGCCGACGGCAGTAGCTCCTTGCGTAGACGCTCCTCGCAGCGTCGAATCTCACGCTTTCTGCGGCCCGACTTCTTTGACGAACCACGCGAGCGTGACTCTCAGAGTGCCCTACGGGAGATACGGGAAAGATCCTGTGACCGCTTAGAAACAACGGAGCAGTACCATCGCAAGCACAGCTTGCCCAATGTGGAATCGGAAGTGGAGCCTGTACAAACAGCAAAACGACATGCCCGCAACAAGAGCATGGAGCAGTTTTCTGATGCAGTAGAAGGACCCCTGAGCGCTGCCCAGCAGCCTGTGACGAGACGAAGCCAGTCACGTTCACGTGAACTTGAAAAAGAACTCGATAAACACGAGCTGGCCAACAAAATACTGCAGGAGTTGCAGCTGCTGTCAACGGTGCGCACGCAGAACGAGCAAGAACAGCGTTTGTCGACGGAGCAATCAGCTGCTGAGACGCCTCGGGGTGACAAATCTGAAGAAACGTCCACCATAAAGAAATTGAAAAAAGCTAAGTCGAAGGAAAAGCAAGCTGAGCTAAGCAACGACCCAGATGCCATCGCCACAACAACGACTCCGCTCGTCCGAAAAGTTAAAAAGGTGGTAAATAAAGCAGCTGAACCAGAAGCAACACAACCCAATCAGTTGCCTGCACCAAAGGAGACTAAACTCAAGCGACCCAAATCGTATCCCATGAAGGATCTGGGTCTAAGTCTCAAAGGTAACCCAGAGTTGCCTTTGCCCGAGTCGACTCCGTCAGCGCTGCCAAGCAAACTGCCTAGTAAATCAACCCCGTCGTCAACAGAGGCAACTGCTGATCCAGCACAAAGAGAGAGCCGACTGATGCGTCCCAAAAGCTATCCAGCCACAAGGTTGACCATGCCCAAGGATTTCAGAAAGGTAACTCACAGCGGCGCTGCCATACCCAGCATAGCCGAGACTTCGCTAAAGGCGACAAGCGCATCAAATTCCAAGACCACGTCGGAAGAAAAGTCATTATCAGTCACACCCACAGGTGTAACAAGCTCAATGACTGAAAAGGACACTGGCTCCTCATCTGCGGAGTCGCGTCCAACGACCACTAAAAAAATAATCAAGGCTTCCAAGAAATCCAAGCTAGTGCCGCCTACACCAGTGACTCCATCTACGCCCACAACCACAACAACAACTACACCAGCCGACAGCTCCAAGGAGTCGAGTCCGGTGATCAAATCGAAGGATAAATCGCCTGAAAAAAAAACCAGCAAGGGCCTGTTCTATGCCATAGGTCAAAAATTCGAGAAGCTCCGTGACTCAGCAATGAGCAAAGAGAAGAAAGTGAGCACGCCCAGCACAGCGCTGGTTTGCACACAGAAACAAGGCTCGCCAGAAGAGCACAGCTCAGTGGAGAAGTCTACATCAACGCTGCTGCAAAAGAAGAAGTCCATGGATGCAGACAAGCCACATGAGGCTGCTTCAGAGGATAAGCGTGTCGACAAGCGATCGCGCTTTGACACCATGCTACGCTCGTTGCGGGAACGGTCCGTCCCACGCACTCAGCCCGCTAACAGTGTCAGTCCCAAGCGATCCGCCAGCGTTGAGGAGCTGCACGCCGACAGCAGCAGCAGCAGCGGAAAACAGAGCGGCGCAGTTAACAAAATGTTAGGTGGACTTCTGCGACGCTTTGACCGTGAGAATAGCGAGCAGCGACGCGTGCGAAGCACTCGTTCTACCAGTAACATTGAGAGACAAGTACGCGAGGAGCAGGACACATTACTTCCAACCTCGCCCATTTATCAAAATGTGGCCAAAACTAAAGCCATGGCCGCTGAAGTGAACTGCAACTGTGACACGATCTGCCCAGACTGCGTACAGAATCAAAGCGCCAAGGGAAGCAGCATAGAGAAGACGATAACAACAACAACGACGACGACGACATTGACAACCCCGACGATAGCCAGCTGCAACCTGCAAAGCAACAAAGAGAAACGCAAGGGTCTTATGCTGGATCTGAGCAATCCGACTAGTGGAAACGCCTCAGGAGCCACAAGTGGCACGGCGACAACCACAACCAACACGAGTGGCAGCTACCGTGGCGCTAAGACGAACCCGGCGCTGCTCAATGGCAACGGGCTGTACTCCAATTTGCCGCCGTACCCGGGCGCCATGAAGAGCACCTCCTCCAACAACAGCTCGAGTCAGCAATCAGTGGATAATACTACCAACAACAACTCTGTCAATACCAACAACAACTGCAGCTCGCAAACTTCGGGCTATCGCACCTCGTCGGCGCACGAGATCAATCGCAATAACTTGCTGACGCCTTCGTTCGAGAACATTGCCAACTACTCTTCGGATTCGAGAAGCTACCAGGATGACTGTGCCTCGACTTCCACGTTTATGTCTCCTACCGAAGAGCCTGAGTTGTACTTTGACAATTGGTCTGTTTGCTCCGAGGACAACTACATGCTGCATGCAACGCCCTCCCCGACGGTGTCACGTCTATCCCGCGCCTCTCAGCTGTCGTCGCCTACACGCTGCTCGGAGAGCTCCGATCCCAATGAGAGTGTAATTGATCGCATTAAGCGGCGCAGCTTCTACAGCCGCTTCAACGAGCAAAAGCCCAGACGCACCAGCAGTATTGTTGGCCCCTCAGCGGTGCGTGACTATTACCGGGAACAGCAGGCAGCGGTGAAGGCGCGCTCCAGCCAAAAGTTGCATGCACCAGAGGTAGAGACACGCGCTCATTCCCCGGACATTACTCAACAGTTTTTCAGACCATTAAAACTGAGTCCCGTCGGCACTGAGCTGAAGCCGCCCGTATATCGTTCACCACTGGACTATGCCACCTCTGCGTCTGGTGGAGCAACTAGCAAACCTCGTAAGAGTCTTAACGACATTCGCAACACATCGCCATCGTTCCTAAGCAGACGCTATGAGCCGCACGATTATAGTTCGGTGCCCATGCGTTACAAAAGTTCCTCCAGCTCCAGTCCCAGCAATGGCGCCGTAGGCGGCGTCAACGGCTATTACAACACATACAATCCGAAACGTCGTTCTTCATATACTCTAAACGGCACTCTGCCCTCCGGCACGGGCAGCAGCGCTGGCGCTAGTAGTCATTTGGATGGCTATGCTACACTGGGAAGACGCTCCATTCGACCCTATGACCATCGCACCATGTCGTTGTTGGAACAGCCAACGACAGGCACCAGCAGCAGCAGCGCAGGTGGCAGCTACCACCGACGAGAGACTCGCACCCCAGTTCGTGACTACACCTCTAGCATTTCGCGGTGAGTACTGCAAGTTTAGGCATTGTCATATGTCAGTGGTAATAAGTTTCCATTTTTGTACTTTATAGCTCCGGATCGCGCTATCGTACCTCGTCAGCCACGCGGAGTCCCACAAATATTTGATGTTCCACACCGCAGAATGGCTTCTGCATCTTCTGCTACTACTCAAAACGAAAAAAGGCTGCTCATGTTTCGGCCAACACAACTGCCTCCTCGTCAGCATCGGCCTCATCCTCCCGCGCCAGCGGTGGCATCAAAAAATTGATGCAATCCGCACAGACCCATCATAATCAGCATAGGTTCTAGGAAACCAAGCGCATGACGCTGCCAAGGATAGCGACAGCTTAGATATGACAAATTCGAAAGGAAGCACTCAGATTGAGTGTACCAAATTAGACATAACTCATTTTTGATATTTTTTATATAGCCAAAGTTTAGATTTAGTGCAGATTGCCCAGGAGCTCTGCGCGTAGTTGTCCCATTAACTAATCAGATAAACATAGTGGCGTTTCAAAAAATCAAAACAAAAACAAAAACAGGAACGTAAGAACGTAACCGTAGTTCAAGAGGTAAAATGGTGTCGGTCTTAGGTTCGACCGATCATTAATGCCATATACGATTTTCAAATGATTGTGCCTTGGTTCCTTCGGCGTTTTTAGATTTAGCCCTAGACGTAAAGTTGATTTAATTTATAAGCAGGGGAAGGTACAGGAGGGAATGTGGAAAAATGTTAGTTTTTTAACAGATATTTCAAAAATATTTTATATGCTATTTTTAAGAGCCTCGCGCTGAAAAATGCGTTAAAATTTTACCAATAATTTTAACTACTATTTTTTGCAACACAGAACTGAATGATTATTTGAGATATTTAGATTTGGCAATGATATGGAAGCTTTCTTTCGTTAACTAGAACTATTGATGTTATTGCAAAATAATAGAAGATACGTGTAGAAATAACGAGAGGTAAAGATTCGGGTGTAGCGAAAACAAAAAGCGAATTTAAAATCTAGTGGGTAGAAAATTTAAAGTTACAAAATGTAATAAAGCATGAGAGTGCAAACATTTTTAAAGATCAATAAACACCACGCATAAATACAATCATTAAGTATCAAATCTTTTTTAATCTACGGGTTCAACGTTCTACAACGAAAAAATCACTCAGTTCTGTTTCTTTAACTTGTAGGTGGGCATAAATGGGACATAGTAGGTCCATTTCCAGCTGCGTATGGCATCCATGCCATACGGAAAATCATAATCTGTGGCGCTGCCATCGTTGATGTTGTCGTCGCCCAGCGGCATCTCGTTCGCCCACTCGATAAGTCCACGCTCAGCGGGTGTGCCTGTGAGAAATTAGTTTAGTTATCTCCCAGCTTAGATGTCAATTGACCACAACTTACCGGGAATAATGTTATCCAGCAGGCAGCCCAGTAAGCCACCCACCAAAATAGTCGTGCCCAACAGCACAGATAACGTGGAATCTACGGTTTCATTGCCCGTATTAATGGCACCCGGATGTTGTTGCATCCAGGGGCACAGCACCATGGGGAAAAATATCGATAGACCAAGAATATATAAGTTTCTTGCAGAACGCAAGTCGACGTACTGCAGCGTAGAGAGGCCAAACGCTATGATCATGCCAAACATGACACAGAATATTCCTCCCACCACCGAGTCAGGTATCAGAATGAATATGGCGCCAAACTTTCCAATAACGCCCTGTAATACCATTATAAAAGCGGCCCATTGAATAACACGTCGGGAACCTATCTAGAAAAATTGGAAAAGATAAGTCGGTACGCTAACGTCACAAGCTCTGCTGCTCACCTTTGTCACACCTATAGCACCCACATTCTCTCCGAAAGTATTTGTGCCATTGCCAGCGCCCCAGAGGCCAGCCAGAACCGTGCCCAGGCCTTCGGTACCGATTCCGCGATTAATGGCATGTAAGGGAGGCGACTGGGCGCCTGCCATTTGCGAAACTGTGGGATAATAGCTCAAAGATTCCACAGTGCAGGCCAGCACGCCTGCGAGCATACCCAGCACTCCAGACAACGTCACCGAGGGCCATCCGAACTGGCCCGGATACGGCACATAGAACCACTTGGCACTGGTTAACACATTAATCCGCACATCTGTGCGTGATGGATGCGAAGGCGGAAACACGTCTGTGGCTGTAAGAATGCCGCAAAGGCCCCACATAATAATGATGGTCAACAGCACGGGGAACAGGCGGAAGAGCTGGAACTGACGCACCTCCAAGCCGTGGCCCTTTCGATAGGCAAGCACTGGAATCGTAACGTCGCACATGATTTGCGAGAAAAGTGTCAGCATTCCCGTAGTCCTGTAAAAACATGTACACTAAGAAATGGAAACTAGTTTAGTTTACCTGCTGACACTCACCCCACCGCAATGCCCCAGTGTTTCGAGGCCGTTTCCGCAGCGTGCTCGAAAAGTGTCAGACCGACCAAGGAAACTGTTGGCACAATGGTGAGCGGCGTCACATACTTTAATATCTTGCCAACAAGTCCCGTATAGCCCAATATGACCTGTACCATCGCCGAAACTGCGATCGCCCCGGACAGCTCGCGCATCCGTATCTGCCACAACTCTTCGCGTTCCGCCTCATTCATGGCATCAAGCTTGTCTTGGGGCGGGCATTTCCATTGAGGCAGCGCAAGTATGGCCAGAGTGGGAACTAGAAAAGATATAGTTCCACCCTGAACTATGGGCAAGCGCACGCCCCATGTCGCCTGGAAGTAGGTAACTATGCCGGTAACAAATATCATTGTAGATATAATAATGCCACGATTGGGATCCTCATCGGACATGCACAGTGCCGGTGTTAGTATAAATGGTATTGACACAATCGCTCCAATCATAGTAAGATAATGTTGAAAGGCGAGAAATATGCTCAGATACCACTCTGAAACAGATCGATTAGAAATTACAAAACTGTCGCCAATCTGCTTTAAAATTCACCACAATTTACCAGGATTTTCGTTAATGGCATAAAGCAGTTTGGGCTTCGATCTCTCAGCGTGCGGCGCCGAAGGATTGGCTGTGGGTGTTGCCGCCCTGTTGGCATCATTTAGCTTGGCTGCATCGGCCTAAGAGAAACAAAACTTATTAAGTTATAACAACTAATTTATGCAACTATTAAATTGAACTTATAATTATAGCATATTAAATTAAATTTCTATTGACTTATGCTAATTTCGGCTTGTTGAAAGGCATATCTGGGAGTATCATGAAGGGGAAGTGCATTTTTGTTTTATTTATAAAACTTACATAAACAACAGTGGTTGAATTAATTAGCATTATTTTATGGCAATATGATAAGCTAGATCGTGGGTTTTTATGGGTAACTCCCAGTACCCACTCCCGTCCGTCTTTTGAAATAATAGATAGATAGATTGTTAGCACTCGTGTTGGAATTCTGATTAATTGAGCGTGAGTTTCAGACTAGTAACTATTGAATAAATGGACGGGTCCCAGCTTGTTAGGTTTTATTATATATTAATAAACCAATAAATTACAGGCCAAAATACTGGACTCAGCTGAGTTAATAAATCACTAGCATAAATTGCTTGCTGAAAAATGTGACAAATTGGAATTAGTAAACGATGAACAGTAAATCGCCCCCCAGGCATGCATATGACACTAGATAGTCCACTGAGTTTATCTCTATTTTCTGCTAAATAATTGTGATACAGATCCCTATATTATTGGCTTCACAATGAATAAGACCATACAATAAGTAACAAAAAAAAAAACATTTAACCGATAAGAATCACAACAAAAAATGGCAATTAAGGGCAATTGGCACGCTAATTCCCTTTGAAAATTTACCACTTATGTAAACTTCTTTGAGCTTAAGATTGTGTATATGAATCTACTTATTTATATATAAGTAGAGCGAAAGGAAACCCCGATGCAAAATCATTACTCCAATCACTTACTGGCAACCCATCCCCAATCGCAACACTATTAAGTTCCATAATTAGGCAGTATATAGCCTTTTGCCTGGCATCGATCGATCAATTTATACTAAACACAATACTATCCTCACTGCTGCAATCGTCGTGAACTGATGCAGTCGACTGCTTGGAAGAGACTGAAGAAAGAGCAAAGAAACCAGCTACAACAAATATCGACGCCAGTGCTGGGAAAGATCTTACTTTAAGGTTGTCGAAATTTGCTCAATTGATTGTACAATCTAACTGTACAGTTAGAGTGAGAGCGTACATTGCAAGGCATTGAAGCAAAAGTAATGGCAATAGAAGAGAAGGTGATCTCTATAGGTAGCTCTCATTTGATCGATTCAATTGATGAATTTCACTATTTGTATCGAGAGTGAAGAATTTGTTGTATAAATTTATATACTCTACTTATTTCACTCTCATCCAAGTTATTTATAATTATAGTTGGTAAAAGATAAAAACGCTTCAAGGCAGTCAGCGGCTACTCTGTAAAAATGTCGAAAAGATCGCCATATAGATACCGCTTAATGAGCTTCATAAACCATAGTATATCTTTCGTTTTTTTGTGTGGACACATATACGTACTTATCAAGTATACCATATACCGTTTTTTGGAGTTATTAAAACATGAGCATTTAAATTCAAAAAATAAAAAATCTTTTTTATCAGGTTAATAATTAAAATCATTTGTAGGTATGTACCTTTTGTACCCACGTTCTTTAGATCGAACAGGGAGCCCAAAAATAATATAGCTATAAACTTAAATATTAGTACTTCTTCAAGTGGAGAAAACGGCGACCTTGCAAACTTGCCTATGTTCAAAATGCCAGCAATTGAGTAAGTTCACTTGAAACTGAGTACCTCAACCTGAGAGAATATGTATGAATATATGTCAACTCTCTAACTTTCTAGGGTATATTCTTAAAAGTCCATTTGTAATTTTATTTTATTGACAGGGAAGTGTATGTAGTTAATAAAATGACATAAAAAACGTTCATCAACTTGAGTTTCGACGCTGCTTCAGAGCGTATGATTTTTTATGATATATCCCATCGAAATTTAAATAAGTTTGACCGTCCTGCGTAGAGTAAACAGAAAAAAAAGCGCTTTTGGAGAAACAAAATTTAATATGCATAGCATTTTTATTGTAAAAGTAACTCTGCACATTTTGTTTGTAAATATTTAACTAAAGCGCTACATACATAGTTTAATATACATTAATTTAGTTTTGGTGGTGTTGTTAAAGTTGTGATATTTTATGCTATACACACATGGTTACTTTCAATATACCGATAGATCCATTTAATGAAGCATTTATAAAAGTTGCGATAGACGTGTAGATTTTTAGACGGCGTTAGTGTATGTTTTAGTGAAGGTTTTCTTTTCAATACACATTTGTGAAGATGATTTATGTTTGGTAGTTTGATAAATATGTTTAATATATTTTTTAACTAATTTTTCAAAGGGATCTTCATCGATAACATTAATTAATATGTTTTTCTTTATGTAAAGCACACCAAGTTCTGTTGCAGTTGCAGTCTCTCTTACAAAATTAAACAAAACAAAAGAGCATTAAACAAAACTTATAACGATAAATAAAAGTGTCTAGTGCACGAAAGCGGCATTAAGGAGCAATTTATGGTGTGTCTTCTTCTTTATCCTGCCACACGCTGCTCTCATTCTCCGTATCACTTAGAATTTCGACCACCTCCTCTTCGCCCGTCAGCAACCCTTCATCCTTCATATCTTTGAAGAAATCAGCTGGCATAGACATATCGCTATCACCGTTGTCAACCATTAGATTCAGTTCAGGCACCAGTGAGTCATCTGTGCCCACCTGCGCATTTATCGTTGTGGTGGCTGACGTTGTAGAAGACACATCCATAGGCGGCAGCGTAGCCACCGGATTAAAAGGCGCATCTAAATCTTCCAGACCACGCGGTGGCTTTAGCTTGGCCAGCTCTTCTCGTAGATGCCGATAATGTCGACGCAACACCATTGAGTTAAAGGATATAGTGCGACTAGCGCGTTCGGTATATTGTGGCTTACTTAGCTCCTCAATCCAACCCTCGATTTGTGTGCAAATCTCCTCTCGCTTTAGCCAAAAGTGTTTGTGAATTACCTGAAAATTTGCATGGTTTTAAGGGCTTTAGTCATTTTAATATTGAAACTTACATCTGTGAAGCAGGGACTTGGGTTCCGTATTTGCTCTAACATTGCCCAACGAACGCACGCCTGATAAATGTTGCTGTTATACTCGCGCGACGAGTTGGTGCCGCTGGGTGTTCCACGACTGCGCTCAAAGCCCGGTTCATTAAAGTACGGCTCAGGCACCAATATCAGGGACTGTATGGAGACGAGAACCTGCAGAAAACTGGAGGTTTGTGCATTCCATTTCTCCTCGGGTCGTCCGTGCCAGGTGTTAAGCACTGACAGACAAACTTTGCCATCGTTGTAGAGATTGGGATTAAAGCGTACCGAATGACGACCTGTGGTCTCTAAATTGATGAGCATGGGCAAGTTGGGATAGTCTGGTGGAAAGAATACATCAAATTCGAAGCAGCCGTTGGCATACGGCGTGTCCGCCGGACCAGTTATTAGCACCTAATATGTATAAATTAATGATCAGATGTGAATATATAAATAGTAGCATAAATCACGCAAGAACATCATTATGGGATCTTATACTACCTTCATTATGTCCAATCTATCCGTATCACAGCGCACAAAGACAGAACTACTAAAACTTAGCGGCAAGCTGGTAGATAGCGTGACTGCTTCCTGCGCCAGCCGCTTGACACGTGAGGGATGATATCGATCGCCGGCTAAACGCACCATTTTCTCAAAATGATGTGAAACAACAAATCGAAAGCTGTTGTTGTCCGATTCCACAATCATATCGTATGTATCGAACTGGCGTTTTTTCATCAGCTCCAGATAGCGCTGCTCAACTGATTTGCTGAGCGGCCGCTCCAATGAACCCATGCCATCCTCATGCGTATGCAACATATTAATGAGAGCATCTGCATCGGTCGTCTTCTGGACGAGCACGCAGGTCTCGTGTATATCCGGTATGAGCAGCGCAAGGCCCTCGTCATCACCATCATCAATGTTGAAAGTCAGCTGATGAGTTTGGCCTTTAATGTTGGACTTCTTGTTGACCCTGTTGGAAGAAAAAATGCTTAGTAATTTTAATTGTTATTGACCTATGAGGGACTCACTTAAGCCGCTTCGCATACGTATCAACGCAGGTCTTCATGTTCTTTAAAAGCTCCGCAATAGGTGGTGTACATTCCCCGCTAACATTCGGCTGTAGCAACGAAACCAAATTCTTAGAAAGGGAAAGCGCACGCAGCAGCTTTAAAATGGCACGATAGAGAGGAATGTGTCGTGTTATGTCTAAAACTGAATCGTTGCGCAGGTAAGAGCTAAGCGCGGGTATGAGACACGACTGCTGCAGCAAAGTCTGGAAAATTGGCGGCAGGTCGCCAGTCACAGCGCGCACATCGTGGTATGCAAGTATATCTTCTCCGCGCATATCGCTGGGTATGCAATCCCCGGGGTTGATATAACTTGATAATACCAACAACAGCACCGTCACATGCTCTTCCTCACTCTTCTGGCGCAAAAGCGCCTGCTCGACGTTCCACGACTGTGTCGTAGAGCCGGTGCCAAATCCAGTGCCTTTTGCCCAGTATATATGGCTTTTATCATCCGACGTCGCCGTACTTGCCATGGGTTCCTCTGCTGTGCTACTTTTTGCGGCTGAGCCGTTGCCGTTGCCATTGCTGTTACCACTAGATGTTGGCTCGCTTATTAATGCACCAATCTTGTTGTTATGGGACTGATGCGAAAAGATGCCTAGACAGTTGAGCACAAGATGCATGGCGCCTACTTCAATGACAACACGGCGCAATAGCACGCCGTCATCCGTGGAGAGTGACACACTATCCAGCAGTTGACGGAAAACCTCAAACGGCAGTGTTGGTAAAGATGGTGCCAACGAAAGGCTATAGATGTCATCTGTAGAGCAAGCAAGATAGCTTAGCAAATAAAAAATTAGATGTAAAGAAACTGCTGCACTTACTGCCATCGCCATCTCCGGTGACGCCTAGTACGAGACGCAGGAGGCATTGGGCACGCTGTTTGTCCCTAAGCAGAACATCGGAATAGGCAGGCAGCCGTAGGAAGAGACCAAAAGCGGCCAATGAATGTTGCGGTACAGAACTAACAGTTATTTGTTTAGCTGCCGGCTCACATATGGTATCCTCCAGGTCTTCGTAAATCTCATCATTGGGCTCTAGCTTAACCCAATCGGACAGTGGTAGGCTCTTCTCCTTCTCAGCCGCTACCGAAGTGGCCTTTCGGCCCATGTGTTCAGGATACACAGTGGGCAAATAGTGTGCTAGCAGTGATAGACCGCCACTGCTAGAAAATCTTTGTAACGGAGACGGCAGTGGCTCAGTGCAAACAGCCTTGATTTTCTTCGATTCGGTGGCTACATCTCCCAACGAACGCTGGTGTACCAAATCCAATGAAAGGCAGGGTGAGGATAACGAGTGACCAGCACCCTGCAGTGTAGCCAACACCTGCGAAATGGTGGCGTCACCAGACAACAGTATATCCGGATAATCTGCTACAACCAACTGGCTGCCAATACCAACATGTGCCGCTTGCAGTAGAAACTCCTCAATATTAAAGGTATCTGTAAAAAATATATTTTAATATTTTACTGCGATTTATGTGCGTTTATTTATTTCACTCACTGATGGGTAGCAGTTGCATGCCTGATGTTTGGGTCTCCTTGTCTTTATTAACTGCTGCCTGGTTTTTGGCATCCTTGATGCGCTTGTCCTTAGCCGCCACCGCAGCACCAACAGTAAGAAACTCCATGCTGCCTGCGTCCATATTGTTAAAGTTAATGAAGCACGATTTATCGAGCTTGGTATCGTTTGACTTGGCCGCAGCTGAAATACTAGCTGAGCCATCACCACCAGTACGCTGATCTGTTGGTTGTTGATACACTAAGTTACTATAAACTACGGTATCAAAAATGAAATTAAGAAATAAAAAGTCAAAATTAATTAAAGAAAAAAATAAAATAACAAATCAATATCAAACTATACAAATAGGTTTCACATTCTGCAACTTAAAAAAAATAGTCCGAAATTAGAGACAAAATTTAACCTTTAAAAACGTACAAGTTTACAAAATTTTAAAAGTCAGTACGTTATTAAAATGTATTAATAAATAAATGGCAAGGTAATAGGTAATGGTTGTCAATCAAGCCTGTCATCAAATATAATAACGCTACCCTTAATTTAAAGGTTTCAATTAGAATCACTTACCACTAACACAGTTCTGCATGATCTCCTGACAAGTGGTGCTCGTAGTGACATTGAAGATCATTTGATGAGCGCTGCTGCGTTTGGCGGGATGATGATTGACCGACGCAATGGGTAAGCTGTTGTTGGCACCCGCAACACCAGTACCACCCATGATGGCAGACAAGGTATCTCGGCGCTGCAACGGCTGTTGGCTGTGCACAGAGACCGTAATGTGCTCGTTCTCTAGCAATAGCTGCAACACCAACTGCCGCGTAAAGCCGGAGATTGTTGGACGACTGCCAGACGCAGAGCGCAATGGCTTGCAGATTATGGCGCCAATGAGCAGCGACGTCAGCACTTCCTGATTGGCTGGATGACACGCACTCACACGTGTAAAGAAATTAATTGTTGCCCGTTCAAGACGAATGAACGTCTGCTGCATGGGCAGCGTTTTGGTGAACTGTGCCAAGTGTGTGTTGCAAAGCAGCTGTAGCAGCGGCTTCCAAAACATTGAGCCCTGCAAGGTGCCCAGCCAGTCACGCATGGGACCCTCCGCACAGCACTCGGAAAAGAAGTCCAGCACTTTAGGAACATTCGCAGAGCTAAGCAGTGGCACTGTGCCCAGACCGACATTCGCCTCCGCTTTGTCAAAGTCGGTAAGAGAAGAATCTCCACCAGCAGCAACCTGATTGCTGCAAGAAGCTGCGGTCGTTGGCACTACAGATTGCACCTCTGATGTTTGTAACATGTGTGTGCAGTACTCGTAGATGGCATGCGCCAATAGCTTGGGCAAACCCGAGTCCAGCATCTGATAAACGGCCACTGGAGACTGGCATGCCAGTGCAAGTGTCTTTAGAAAAGCCGGATATTGCAGCAACTGTGTGAGATTTTCAGTGCCTTCGCGACGGAACCAAGCGCAGCCGCTTTGCACTTTGCTATCATCCGTTTTACCACGAGGCTGCTGCTCCAACTTCACACCTAACTTTACTAGCAATTGATTAAATAGCTCGGGCTTAATGTAGCACAGCGCACATATAAGCGCATCAAAACTGCTCTTCAATGGCTCATCATGCTCAAGTTCAGCTATCCACCGGTAGCAAGTCTCAAAAAATGCCGGTGTAATAAGCTGAGGCAGATCGGGTACCTGTTGTTGGCGCTGCACTTGCCATAAAATTGAAGCAATAACCTTGACAAACCCGCTTTGCGGATTATTACAGCGGGCCTGCTTGCTGTAAGTGTCATGAAGTTGCATAATCCAGTCCAAAAGCACGCGTAGCTTATCAAGCATGTGCGCTGTTGACCCAGTGACCACTTGGTAAATGAGATCACACACAGCATCGTTAGAGAGTTTAAACACTGCAAAAATATTTGGCCAAATATTAGTTTAGTACTTGACAGAGCAACTATGTTGCGCCTTACCCTGTGGTGTGGTATGCCAAAGCAAAGTTCGCAGAAGCTGCAAACTAAGTTCATGATTGTACGCCCCCAACTTGATTAGTATAGTTTCAAGATGCTGCTGCGCAAAGCTAGGTATCATTGGCATAATGTTCAGCAGGGAGCAACAGGCCTCCAAAAATCCGGGATATGCAGCCGGATACGAAGCGATTAAATCTGCCAACTTGCTATCAGGTTGCAAAGCAGCTACATGAAAGCATCGAGATAAAATGCGCACCCAACCGATACTAGTTTTGGCGAAAGCATCATCCTCCGGCAATGCATCTACATCCATAGCCGACAGTGTGGCCGAGCTTAGCGGGGCTGAGCAGGCAACGAATGATTCACCAAAAACTCCTTGGCTGCGAAGTCCTTGCATTCGATTACCAAAGATCGTCTGACCCAAAACAGCAATCTGTACTAGCCCCACATTGCCGCAATCCTTGGGTCTAAAAAAATGGTTGTTACAACTGTAATTGGAAAGTGACACCGACAAGTTTTGCTTACTTGTAAAGTCTCAGTACAATGCTGGTAGCCACTTCAGCTTTAGCTAGTTTAAGACGTATACAGGTAAGGCCCGTGGTTGCCATGGGCGCGCCCACGGGAATAGAACCAACACCATAATCACGAGACAGCTCCAAAGCTACAGCCGAAGGGCATGAAGCCAAACTAGAGGTATGCGGCACCAGCTGCACCTCCTTGAGCAAAATGGCTGTGGGCAGCGTTATCGTCAAATCAACGTGCGTCTCATTTGGATAGAACATATAGCTCCAGGCAGGCGACCGTGGTCGTCTATGAGTGGCATTTGGATTTGAGATTAGCATTTCGGCACTTTGCGCTGCATCATTCTCCGATACTATATGCGAAAAGGGCGCAAAGTTGATAAGTCCATCATATTGGGCGCTGCCGTTCCTTGACGGTTGTGCTGCTGTTGTCGTAGTTGGCGCGCCAGTGCTTGACGTTGTCTTCTTACAAGCGTTAGTGTTGCTAACAGGACTATTGAGCTTGAGCCGAGTATTACGCGTCATATGTTGCATAATCATTGAGATCTAGTTGTAAAGTAAACAAATGCAATACTGTAACATTCTTTATGAAATATTTAGGGTTCTGTACATTTTTATCAATATACTGATAATATATAAATTTTGACCAAGCACATATAGCATATACTACTTTTAGCTGAAAACTACCCTAAAGCATAACTTTTAGCCAAGTAGCAACTTACCAGTCCCGGTTGCATGTTTATAATAGTCTTGTTAAGTCGCACCAAATTATGACAAATGATTTGTATGCCACCTAGCTGTGTGAAAATTTGCACAGCCGCAGTCACTTCCAGCACTTTCGATATGTACCAAAGAAAGGGTTCCGATAGTTGAAGACGTGGTAATGTGGCATTGCGTTGTATGGTGGCTGTAACACAAATACAACAATACCAACAATGTCCTATAACACAAAAACAAAAACTTACTCTCCTCTAGATATTGGCATATAGGTGCTACAACCAGTCGTGGATTGGAGGCCCTCTCACTTAGAGTGATCATTAAACTGAAAACGGCATCTGCAATGGTCTGCGGCTCATCCAGTACCATATTCGTTTTGAGTGAAAAGAAGCAGCTCGAGGACATCATAGTAAACGTGTTCGTTGAGCACTGAGAGAGGGCCCCAAACAAGCGCTTCATAGTGGGAAACTGGCGCAGCACTGTAAGAAAAATAATTATCCAATTAAAAATATATTATAACAAAAAAAACGGAAGTACGAACCCCAATCGGCTATACATGGCACCTTGCTGCGATGCCCTTCTGTGTTCAGCTGTTCAGCTTTCGTTTCATCTGTTTGGCTTTGATTAGACAGCTCCTCCTCTTCAGGTATGGTGACCTCCTGTAGTATATAAAAGCCATTAGTAACTATGGTATCCTCTGGCTGAATTAACATACACTAGGTTGCCTGGGCATCTCCGTTAGAACCATGTGCGAGGACAGTTTGAGTAGATTTATAATCAACGAATTATCGCAGATGTTGGCATTTTGCTTAGAGGGATTTTCGGATCCCAAGACATTGGCAAACAAATTGCTGAAATTATTGCCAGCATTGCTATTTTCGTTGCCGCGCTGGCATTGCAGCTTTTCGCCATTGGAAATGTTGTTGAAGACTAGAAACGCTAAAAACAAAATAAAAAAAAAAAATAAAGCTGTGACTTTCACCAGTTAGCAGTTACGCTACTTACAAACACTTTCGATAATCTTAAGCGCAATGTTTAGATCGCCCTTGTCATTGGGCATTAAAAGCAGATCGCGTACCAGCTGATTCTGAGCATCGATTGGGCCTTGCTGGTTGCTAATAGCGCCGCCAGGCTGTACTAATTGCAGCACGACATGCAACAGAATGTCTTTAAGCCGACGCTTACATGGAATGAGTCCACCACAGCTCTCGTTCTTGCTATGAAGCCATAACAGAAGTTCGTGTAGATGCTTGCAAATGGTAGGACCAGCCTGACAGAGGTAGATAAAAACATTTTGACAAAATGGGTCTCTTTGTCAGGAGAAAGTAACTTACACAACGATTGGTAATAATGGAGGAACTCATGCCGTAGCCGGAAAAAAAGCGCAGCAGCATTTTCTCAAAATTCTCATCGTTCACAATGACCTCATTAATGCGCGTGCAGTCTGAAACATCGTCGCCAATGGGCAACGAATTGCAAGCGAGGAATAGGCATTGGAAGCCTAAGCACCAAGTGCGCAGCTTAATGTCATTGTGCCAGGCTAGAGCCAGTAAAAGCCCTTGCACTGCATTAGCACCAAATGGAATTTTTGGTATATCCGCTTGGGTGATGCCCGTCGTGTAGGGCTTATCCGCCAGCTCGCAGTTAAGTGTTAGCCACATTTGCAACACTTGCTCCAGATGCACCCACGTATCCTCATAATGCAGATCGGCCAATATAGAATCAAAAACGTTTTTCAGCATAATATATGTGTTGCGGCCACTATAATCTGGGCCAGACCACAACTGCGTAAGATACTCTGGCCAAGGCGCAGCGTCTGGTGGTGCCGATACGAACTCATTAGTCAGCACCTGCGGTAGCGAGGAGTACAAATCTAGCGATGTACGATTCGTCAGACGACGCAGCTGTGCTTCCACGTGCAGCTCCAATCCAGCATCCAGACGTGTATCCATAGCAATGGATATGGACTTGCAAAAGAAGCTAAACGTATTCTTGCAGAGCGCATTACTCTCTTTTTTAGTAATTGGTTTTGTGCGCTCGATCATATCGATGTCGTTCAGCATCTCGTCAAACTCAGTATCCTCGCATTCGATCAGAGATGGTAGGTAATTGTATTTGGCAGCTGTAAGGGATTAGCAATGTTTAACAAATTAAAATAAAAATAAATACTGGTGCAGTATAATAGGGGTAATATGATAACATGAGCATCGGTTTTCGGGGGATCCCAAGGAACAGCGTCCCCACTTGGGCCTCCTAGAACTGAAGCCCATGTCAATGGGAATTTTTTTCTGCGGTTTTAGGTCTCATTTTTTTACCCTCCGGATAAAAGTCACTTGCTGTCGGCATATGTAGCACAGCCTGTGCGACGGAGGAAGAGAAGGATGCTAAAAAAATGAGAAATATATTTTTCAAAAACCAATAGAGAACAAGGGAAAGCGCAAGCTACCATGCAATCCATAATAGCAATGGAAGCCTACCATCGTGCAATTGCCGAGGCTTAAATACACCCTTGCATTTTCCAGATACGTAAACTAATTTGCCCAAAAATAAAAGGATCTCAAGCAAGAGCCAAATTCTAACGATATCACTATGAATATCAATAACTATAATGGTTTTGAAAAGTCAAACGGACCGGAAAATTGTCAAATAAATGTTCACCATACCCGTATTGCAAGAATATAACACTATATCTGATAAGGAAAGTTACTTACAGCTATAATCACTAAAAAGATCCCGAGTCTCCTGCACAGCTGTCGTCACAATGGAACGAGCTCCATCGTTTGTGGGTGTGGCATCGTTATCCCTGTACTGTTTGTCTGCATCCAACAGGTCCTAAACGAGAAAATACTATTAGTCAATTTTCTAAAACTAATTGAATAAAATATCACCTGGAGCAGGCAAGTAATTGCATGCACCGCCCAGGGCTGTTGCTGATCGTTCCACACGGCCAAACGTATGAGCTGCTCGAGCTGTGCTGTTGTCACAATTTTGCACAGTCTCACCGATGGCCGACACGCAGCCACTAGACGCGCTATTACTTTGCACGTTAAAAGAAACTGATCCATATTGCAATCGAAATCCATTTCAAGCAACAGAGCAAATAACCCACGAATAACCACTTTGATGTTGGTCATGCTTAGCGTTTTTAGACCCTTATCAAAGTTACTGTCTCCATCAGTACTAGCTCCCAAGCCGTCGAGATGTTTAGGCGATGATGTGGAAGTGCTAGCGGCCTTAACTGAGCTGCCACTGGCATTGGTGCTAGGCGCACACATACTACTGGATACCATATTGATTTTTCCCCCTGTTGACGTTGCTTTGCTTGCACCGCTAGCCTTAGATTTAGTCGACAACTCCATAAATATACCGGGATGCTAAGGGATTCAGAATTGAGAAAGTGTCAGATGCTTTTTACAGTAGTAAATTATATTGTCTTACCTCATTCTGTATCATGTAGATTTTCTTGCCCCAGTCTGTGTAGGGTTGAACAGAGTATTTGTTCTGCTGTATAATTCGCTTCTTGAAGCAACGTAATTGTTTACTATTCGGAGTATTATTGGGTCTGGTCTTTGTAAAGTCGCTTTCACAGCTCATAAAATCCCATCGCGCCGCCGCTGTGTCGATATATAGCATTAGTATTTTACGAATTGGTGCCAGATAAAAGATTCTCACATTTATCCTTGCGCTCATTGTTGTCATCTAGACAGACAGAAAGGAACAATAAAAGCCACGTGATCAGTTGAAGGTCGGACGTGCTTCCCATGGCTGCGCTGCGTTCGGCTGCACTGGCTGAAGTACTGGGCTGCTCGGACTGGAACTTGTAGTGTGGCGAAATAGGCGCCAGCAACTTGACTAGCGTCTTGAGCACAGCATCTATGACTATGGAACGACAAGCGCCCATTGCAATGCTGCGACGCCCCAAGTATGTGAGCAGAAAGAAGATGCTGTAGAATAGTAAAAATCAATTAAATAAGTGTACAATATACGGCAAATCAATTAACATACCGATCCTGTGGAAATGCCTTACAATTCTGCGCCGAGAATAAACTACAGAAAGTATCAGCCAAAAAGTCACCCCACCAAGGCTGAAAGCAGCACATGCGAACCAGCAGGGAACATGTTGTCAACTGCAATTGTGCATCGCCATAAACAACCAAGGAATTAAATAGTGTTTTAGCAGTAACCACATTAAAGCGCTGATGCACGGGCAGTATGTTCTTAATACCATACTCAATGGAGAAGTGCAACAACACCTCGACCAGACTAAGACTCAATACGCGAAGTTTATCCCGCGATGCGTTGCGTAACGTTTCCTCAATAAGTACAGGAGGTGTAGGCGAACGAAGCGCCTTGGGCGATACAGCACGTTCCAAACGCAGAACCACATTTCGAATAACGTTAATTTGGTATTGTAACAGCATGCATTCTTCATATAGAGAAACAACCTTGTTGTTATTGTCCATACCACAGCTAAGCTCTTCATCACGTTGCTTGTTAATAAACGCCTGTAAATGGGCTACATTGGATAGCTCGCTGTTGCGCATAGGCGACAGAAGTTCCATTAATTTGCAGCTGGCCAAGCTGTAACGGCAGTGTACATCCTCGTAAAGTGCATTAAGCGACTTAAGGTGCGTCTGCAGCGATTGAGCTGGTTGTTTAACAAAACGCACAAGCTGATCACCATAACCATCATGCTCCAGTACAACAGGATGACCAAAGAAACTTCCCAGTGGCACTTTACACTTGGTGGATGACATACCGATACGTCCAACGATTGTCAACTTTAAATAGCGACAAATAGGTGGTGGCTGCATATCGCTGAGCACCAGTGTTTTGGTCTGTATGTCTGAGACCTGCACAAGGCGCGTGCAGTCCGTTTCCTCGTCAAAGCACCAAATATCAATATTGAGGGACGTAAGCTCATCGCAGGCGGGTATTACCACATCCGTTAGTAGTATGTGTTGGCCAAAGTCAAGCACGACAAAGCGTCGGGCGCCCGAATGCATGCGGTCGACAACAATCATTAACTTGGGCGGGGGCGTGAGAAGTTTGTGCCAAGCAATCGGCGGACAAGGATTCGCACTCAGATTTTCCATGATTTTCTCTCGCTCTACGGCATCATCTGTCATGTTCTGTGAGTTGTCATTCCCACCCGTTTGCGATGCTGGTTGGGACTGATCTGACGATTGTGAAAACGAAGCCTCTTCAGGTAGAACATCGAGGCAAGACTTCATTACGGGCTTTTCCCAGTTATCCAGCTCCCCAAAGGCATCGTAGGAGTTTTCTTCGTTTATGCCGAACTTCTTTTGTATGTAACTGTTCCAAAGTGTGAGCTGTGGCAAAAACTTAGATATCTTCAGCTTATCAATGATTGCGGCCTTCTCGATTTTTACCTCCTCTTTTAAAGCATGCTCCAAATCGGTGAGAGATGATACGGCTAAAATAATTTTTGAGACAAAATTCGGAATAGCCCAATTAACCTTTTCATAATTCAACAAGACTTACAAGCTTTATCCTTAAAGCCGTTAACCATGCCAAAAGAACCAAAAGCGGTTTTAACATCCTTGTCTTTCATCTCTTCCACCAGACACTCCACATCATTAACCAAATCGTTTAGCTAAAAATAAAATTGGTATAAGAATATTTGCAAATATATTTGCAAATGTAATATTTTAATACAACATTAAAATTGAAACAATGATTTATTCTAATGAGAACTGTTATTTACCAATTCTTCATCCTTGCCTTTGGTCGCAACCATCTTCGGCATCATCATCACATCCTCAATGACTACACTGGCAGCACCATTGACTACGCTGTCAATGTTATCAATGCGTGTGGCCTCTGATGTTTGTACACAATTAAAATGTAACTGTACCACCTCCAACAGTCCACGCAATTGATTGCTAATACTCTTTCCGCGTATGAGATGCGGAAAGGTGCGAAAGTCAACACCATCTGCAAATAGTTATTTATTAATATATGAAACCAATATAAATGTATAGACTAGCACCTATGGAGCTCAAACGCTTGATGTCGAGACCTGTCACTGGCAATATAGTTGCACTGCTTCGTATCACACTTGTAAGTCCCACCGACGAGTTTGATCCATGTCGATTTATATTGGGGAAATCAAAGTCGAAAATTTCCGGCTCAAAGGGATAACCATACAGTCCAAAACGCGTGCTCAGCAGTGCGCAATGCGGGTCCCATCGTTTATCAATTTCGCAAGCTATGTCTTTAAGCAGATTGATAGCATGCTCCGAAATGCTGTTGTGCGACTCTGCAGTGGATGTAGCGCAGGTAAGCATTGTATACCAGCGTACGACACTAGCGCACTGTGCTCGCGGTAACTCATGGAACGTATTGGTTATTGCAGTTTTAATGCTGATATCCAGAGAAGCATGTTTCTGTAGCTCTCGGGGAAGATTGGCCATGCCTCTGAAAGAAACACAAAAGTGTACATTTTATTACAAATAACAAATAAGATTGATTCTGTACTTACTCTGTCAGCATGATCAGCAGTTTTACACATTTGTGCGCCGTGGTCCGTTCACTATAGATTATGCAGTTGCGCATCAACTTCTCGATGTGCTTTTCGGACAAGTAAATGCACTCAAACTGCTGAGCCAGCAGATCGTTAATATTAGCTGCTGTTTGTTTGTTTATCTGGTCCTTGAGACGCTCAGACTTTGGCGAACGGAAGCGATTTAAGCGGATGAAACAAATCCAGTTGAGCACATCAAGTGCCAGATTCTTGGTCAGCGGAGTTGATTCAGAATCACTGGCAATGCGGAAGAGCTGTTCCAACAGTCCGTTACTATCCAGCATGGCAATGCGCTGAATGCGCCCATTGCTTATGCGACTATGTGACTTCACGGCGCGCACACTTATTGAGATCTCGTGTAACCAATCGCAACCTGCATTAAACGAGGAAATATTATGATCAAATCAGATTAATAATAAAATAAAACAGGAAAAGTTGCAGAAACGGCGGGAACTACCTATTAGTTGCCCGGTGTTTCGACGAACAAAAGGACCAGATGCAGTGGGACGAGACCTCAACGAATGCTTTGGTACGACGATTGTTTGAACATGTGGAAGTTCTGAATTGTTCGCATATTTGTTCAAAAGCGGACCGCTCAAAACTGAAATAATTTTCATTTTTCCTGATTTCAGATGGGCTTGATTTGCATTGGACAGCGTGGGATTTATTTTGCTGCTTCGCGTACGATAAACACAATCTTCAACTTGGTGCGGACTCTTGCGTCGCGCAGAAGAAGCTGCAATTGTTCGGGAATAAAAAGCGTGACCAAAACCAAAAAGGCAACGATCAGCAATATATTTTCGGTATACCGAGAATCAACTACCCTTGCAAATAATTATTCACTTAAGTAAAGAGCCCGAAACATTGGAAAAAGCGGTGTGTCTAAAGCTGACTTAGCAAATTTTCTTTTGGTCCAGAACTAAAATCAACTCAAATTTGCTAATGTTTATATAGAAAAGCTTACAGAAAACTTTGAAAAATAATTTGTTGATCTATTTTGTTCAAGTAGTTTTTATGTTTAGGTCTATGTATTATTATGCAAGGGTATGGTTTCAAACTTTTCTCATTTCTAATTAATATTTCAGCGCTTACAAACCTCTTGTTTTGCTCTGTCCCTCCTTGGACGGATCCGATACGGTTTTGATATGCAGAAGAAAATTACGTGTGCGTGTCTTAAACAGTTTGGGCGAGGTTAAGGTGGCGGTACCGCCTTGATCACACAGATCAATGCATGAAGAGAGCTCGATGGGACCGGCCAGCACTTCTGCATTGTGAGCCAACAGATATTCCTCACTGAGTACCGGATTCTCACTGGCAACTGTAAATTAGGAATGAACAGATACGTGATTAAGCAAAGAATACAAATTGTTTACTATTTGGTGCCTCACTATATGAGAAGTCAATATTATCGTCAATGACGTTGGGTTTATAGCTGGCGTGCGGTCCTTTCATTCTGTAGCCAAAGCCATTAGTGTTCTGCTTGAGTAGGGTGACCTGAATGGCTGCTGGATTAGAACACTGCTGGTACACAGTAAATTTTAAATCGATATGGCCCAATGAAACTGGCTGTGCCAGGTTTAGCTCAATTATGTGCTCATCCCATGTGGTCCTATAAAAGACAGAACATTTTTAAAACTTGAAGCCCATAATATTCGTGCTCAACGACTTACGCATCGTTATGCAGTCGCCAAGTCCGTGTGAAGTCACGCTCATCGCCTCCATGACGCATATTTTGCGATTGCTTGCGCTGCTTTTGTACCTGTCCCAGATCGTTCCAGCAACTTGGTACTTCAGCTGAGTACACTGTTAGCTTCTCTTCGAACTGAGTGAGTGCGTACAACAAGCGCAGGTCATCGAGCGTCAGGTCAGTGGTCTTGTATGCTAACAGGTTTGTGTTGTTGCCCATTAAAGATGCAACCGATGGTGATGTCTGCACATGTGCGTTTTGACTTGATGTCCCGGCGGCTGCCTCATTGCTTACATCCACAGAAATCATCGGATCGCTCATAACAGAGTCAATTCCCGCAGCATTGCGCACTCCATCGGTTACACTTAAATCCATGCCATGTGTCAACGTGGTACTGCAGTCATCCTCCATTTCCAGTAACTCATCGCCAGAGTCATTGTCGCCGTCGTTGAGCGAATAAAACAGCATGCCCCCCTGGCGCGAACAGCAGCAAAGCCTGTCCAAGTTGCGACAATAGACCACGGCTTCAAAGTGCTCACCCTCTTCCTCGATGACAGTAGTGGCCTGAAAATCGGCCAAGGAGTAAATTTCAATGCATCCATCGGCGCACACCACACAAACGGAGCCAACTTCTTTCGCATCAGAAGAAGCCGACGATGCATATGGAGGCAGGATGCACAGCTGCTTAGGGCACTTTGCACGGCTGAAGGTCATTGCAAGCGTATAATCATTGGAGATTTGCATGTCATCGTAATCAAAAAGGAGCAACTGTGCGGCTACATTGCATTCTGAATTATTTTCATCTGCATTTAAAATTAAATAACAATTTATTAGACATTGTGAGACGAAATTTTTGAATATATCTTAATCTAAATTATGGAACTAATATATCGTTAGTTAAGCTAAATATTCATGCATTAAACATTTCTGAATTTGTACAAAAGTTATCTATTCTTATATCTTTGTTTATATATATAATAATAAAATATGTCACTTACCTATATCCGCTGGTAAGTTGTGTTGCTCCTCATCTTCTTTAGCGACCGTGGCCATTATGATCTTTGTGGGTTCCGAATCTGGAGCTTTGGTGCGCATCAGTTTAACCAGCAGCTGATTGCACTTGGGACTGGTGGGCATAATTTCCGCAATCTCTATAATTTCCTGCAAATCTAATGGAACTCCATTCGCACTACGGGCGCCATCCATGGCATTCATTCGTTTGACGCTCGTCCAGCTTTCCACTAGGCAGTCAATTTCTTCACTGGCGGTCAACTTGTCGCTAGTGCTGTTGTTGCCGTTGATGATATTGTTGTTATTATTGTTGTTACTTGTGGGGCCTACGCCTATAGTGTTGCTGTCATTGTTATTGTTATTTTGATGTGACACTTCGGCTTCATCCATAAGCTTGTCCATGTCATTGCTCATGCCTAACAAGCTGTTGCTAACATTCACCGTATTTGAGGAAACCATCAGCCCGGAGGAAGAATCGTCCAGATTACTATCCAGTATTTGCGATAACGTGGACAAATCAAAGTCATATAGAACAGAAGAGTTGTTTCCGCTCTGGTTGACATCATTGTTTTTGTTATAAGTCATTAAAGCGGACACAAAGCCGTTGCTGTCGAAGCCGTCGGCAAATTTTTCATATGGCGTCAGCGATTTGTTGTCATCGTCCTTCGAGGATTCAAGACTCACTTGGCTGGCAACAACATTTGAGTCACTGGAAGCTGGGAAAGTGAAATAGAAATAGTTAAGTGAAAGTAATTAACCGAGCAAACAACTAAATAATTTAGCATAATATTGTGAGTTTTTTCACCGCTTTAAAATTATTTTCTTTTTTTAGTTGCAGCCAATGTAATTTACATTAATTTCAAGTTAGTTTTTGTAACTTTTTTTAAAAGCAATAGAAATGCTTAGATTGACGCCAAATTTAATAGGATTAATCTACGTTAACATTTACACAATAGTAAAACTTTAAGAAGATGAAAAGAACTTACTGGTACCCAGCTGCGAAGATGTCTTTTTCAGCTGTCCTCCAATGCTTGAGACACTGCCGCTGTCATTGCTGATAATCGCCGAGTTCTCGCTGTGCCTATCCAACTCCACAATGTTGAGCACCACCATACGTAATGCCATCTCTCCACTACTTTGCCGCACAGTCACACCTAGCACTATCTTTGAGCCCACAACTCCGGCACGCAATGTCGATGTAGATGTTATATGCTGTGTATTAACGCCGCCAAACTTTCCGCTGCTGTGCATACTGGCAGCGTGAGCAGCGCTACTGCTGTTTCCGCTTCCACTATAGTTTTCCGAGTATACATAGTTGACTTTAGTGCGGGCGCGTGCATTTGGTAACACGCAAATGGCCGTAATACGGGCCCACTCAAAGTTCTCTTCGAAAACTTCTTTGAGCAGTGTGGGAACATGGAAACTGTGCATAAGCTTCAGATGACGCTCAATGCTCCACACGCTCAGCTCGCCTGACTGAGTGCAGCTCGTGCACAGAACATTTGCATAATCGCTGTTAGAAATGATATCAAAGCCCATGCCCGGCGCGGTCGATGCTGGATTGGTGGCATAGCTGATGGACAGCGGCACATTTTGAGTGTATTCACCCTTAACAAACGGGCATAGAGGTGAGTGACGCTCGTGCTCGCTCCAGGGTTCGTCTGTTTTCTCCCAGCAAACCAAGCACACGTTACATGTAAAACACATGGCACGATCTTCACCCGATGATGAGGGCTGATGATAGAAGCCGGCTTGTGCCATTTGATCTGGCAGCGCCCATTTATAATCCATGTGAGGCCACTTCTCAAATGTTTGGCGCCGCACTGCTTCCGAGTGCATGAGAACGCGCTGAAAATTGCTAAAATTCCAGCCGTAGTCCGGCAGACGGGAGCCCATTAACAAGTCCGTTAGGCGCTCATTGATGGCCGATGCTATGGCCAGTACAGGAATGTGTCGTTCCAAACGTTTCAGCAATATTACCACATTGTTTGCTACCAATTTTAGACTGGAATAGGGTACCTCCAAGCAAATTGTATTCCACTGCAACGTTAAAATAAAATATATTATAACGTTTATACGACATACGGCTATTTAAGAAACATTCAGACGACCATGTGAGCGACTGTGAAAATAGTTTTGAATTCTAAACATATTCAATATTATATTTTATGCGCATGTACTCATATGGCGACTAATGTAAATGTAAACAGCCATTAGCGATGATAAACTTACCCGTTGCGCCTTTATGCCCTTCTTAGCGTTAAGCTGAGCCTGGTTAATCTTCAGTGTCAGCTCATTGCTAATATCACACGGACACTCGAGACCTTCGCTCTCCAGTTCGTTTATGCAATTCTGAAAGATGATCGCCTCTGACAATATAAGCTCCAGCTTAATGTAATCATCATTCTGACCGATTGGCGCCTGCAGTATGGTGTCTAACAGTAAAACGCCGTTGTAGTCGCCGCGTAGGCCCACATTGTGACCATCCCAGAACAAGATTTTATCTTGCAATGGCATGTAGCGTCCATGGATTACGCTGTCCGCTGCAAAACGTAAGAAAATAGTGCTAAGTGAAACAAAATTGCACAGATTTTGCCACAGAAAATTCAGTCTTACGCCCGCCATCCCATTTCATCAAAGCTTGCAATTAGTTGTATTGAATGAGCAAGCAAGGGCATGCATGCATACATACACATGTAGACACACATAAAAATGTACACATGTCAGCGCAACAAATGCGTAAACTGCGTAATAAGTAAAACAATAACAAAACAAAAAAATAAAACAAAAACAAATCAAATAAATAAAACCCCAAGATTGCTTAAGCTACTCTCTATGGCAGTCAAGAACATATCAAATAAAACAATATTATATCCTTGCTCCGTTCAACGTTTCCTGTCAAACATGCACCAATACACTTGCATACAAATGTATGTATGCATATTGAAACTTAACGAATACAGACAAATTTACAAAACACAATGCAATAAATTGACATTTGTTCGTGTATTTGTATTTGTGCGTCTGTGTAGTAATTTTTTTCCATACATTCATATATATGTGTATACACTAGTGCTGCTGGTGGTACTGCTTACCATTTGTACTCAATTGATACGTCTGAAGTATAACGCCGGAATTGACATCTAGAACTTTCACTAGATTGTTGACACCAAACGCAAGCAGCACATTTAGTTGCGGATGATAAACGATGTTGCGAATTTCGAACACTGGTGCTCCGCCAGGCAATACACCATCGTTGCTGCTGTCATCGCCCACATCCAAGTAGCCGTCTTGCTTTAGAATACGCTGTTCCATGCTTTAACTACATGCGGGCGTCGTGCGCGCGTTTAGGTTGGTTGGCAACGCGAACTTTGCCTATCCTTGGGAATTTTTGTTTCACAATTGATCAAGAAATTTTCACAATTAAAATTACTTTCGTCGGGACTCTTGCTGCTGCGCTGCAGTTTTTCCTAAATGTGTCCCCTTTTCTTCCTTCTGACAGATGAGTATTTGATTTGCCATTCGCCTTAGCGTTTGCCAATTGTCAAAAACTGCAATTCAGAGTTGTGTAGGCATGTAGGGGTAGATTCAAAGTTTAGTGTTAAAATAAAAATGCTAGATAATCAACAGCTACTTTGATGTGCAGCAAACAAAATAAAATTCTATTTGTAACAACAAGTACAAATTGATTTAATTTTTCACCCGTCACATTCGTTACTCAACACTGTTTTTGCCATTCACATCATAGCGCGTTTTGTTTACATTGACAATCTAGTTTTACAGCAACTGCAACAAGATGAATATCTTGCCCAAAAAACGGTAGAACATAAATGTGGTATACAAAAATCAACTATTGATTGATTTATTCATACATTTTATAGCTGGCATGTGCGCACTAAAGATAATATTGCCCGCGTGCGGCGGGATGAAGCAGCTGCTCAGGAAGACGAAAAAAAACGGCTGGACAAATTGCAATTGGCCGTAAGTAATCAGAATACATACATATATAACTATAGATACACTAACTACACACTTTTAAACTCGTAAAGGAGAGCGAAGCGCGTATCAACTATTTGCGACGTCAATCGGGTTTGCCTGTAAACGTAATAGAAGGGACTGGTGCTCAAGGAAGCAGTGAAAGTACATTAGAAGAGGCCGCAGCACACAATTCTGGTGTTACATCTGCAGTAGATCTATTTGCGGATTACAAAAGTCATGTAAAGAAAACAAACAAAGATTTGGAAAAGGAAAAAAAGGACGAACAGGAAAAGTATGAGAAACAAATCGGATACCTCACCTATCTGGGGCAGGATACAAATGAGGCTCTCAAGGTGCGCAGTTGGTATGAATTGGCCCCAAAACGTCCGGAAAATGCTGACTTCGATCGAACTGAAATCCAATTAAAAGAAAAACTGTCACAAGATCCACTCACATTAATAAAGACACTGATCCCAGGAGAAGCACAGCCTGTTCGAAATTCGATCAAGCGACGAAAACGCACACCGACACCAGAAGCATCGCCTGTCTTAGTGCGTTTGTTGAAATCCAAGAAACACAAAAAGGACAAGAAACATGACAAAAAACACAAGAAACACAAGCATAAAAGGGACAAAGTTGAAAAAATAAGCAAAGAGCTGGCCACGAACGCAAAGCGCGATAAATTAAACAGGTTGCGCAAGGAACGGCTGTTGCGTGAAGCAACAGAGCGACGTCGTCAGGAACAATTATTTGCTCCCAAGGAGTCGGCAATGCCAAGTAATGCTGCAAGCACGCCGGCCCCTACGCCGCGAATAGTCCAAAAGTACAATAGCCAATTTAATCCAGAGTTTGCTAAACAGAATATGATTTGAACATGCATGTATAAATGGATTTAAAAACATTTTGTTGAACTGTTCAATTATGTAAGTTTGTACAGAACTTTTGTCACATAATAAAGATTACATCTGTGTATATAAAGCTGCTTGACCTGACTGGCTAAAGCTTTTCAAGCTGTATTTTCGGAAAATGCGGCTCATAGGTTTTTCGTGTCTGATTTTGGAAATTCCATCCGCATTGGCGGAAAAAGGTTGCATGAAAGTTTTGCATTAACCATCCAATCGGCTTCAAAATCATTGTCAAAGATGTTTGTGAAAATTAATTTGAGATGTATTTCAGATTTTTTGCAAAATCCGTCCTTCTTGCTGGATAAATGCGAGTGACAGGGAAAATTTAAGATTCGTTTTACAGCGTTAAACTTATTATCAAAGCATTACATAAAAACTAAATAAATACAAGTTTAAGTGATTTTTGAAAACTATCCGCAACTGCTTACTTCAGCTTCATTCGCTTATCACTATCAGTCAGTCTGGACAGTCACGATATATATTACTCGAGTAATGATACTAAGGTACATATAAATGATATGAGGATCAATCTTTAGAGGAGCTTATTAGTAAGCTTCATTTCAAATATGATCTCTACAAATCTTAATTTATAAAATGCGGCCATTGCCCAAAAACGAATATACCTTTTATATTGCGAATTATACGATTATTACGATTTCGTATGTCATCTTTCTAAGAATGAAATATGTAATTTTGTTAGCGTCATTTACCGCGTAGATTTACCATTAATATTGTCAATCTTCGTATGTATATCTGTGAGTGTTTAAATATGCAAATGCAATGCAAAATATGAACATACATATTTACATAATAACAATTTATTTTAAGATGTTACAAGTTTTTAACTTTTGTAGTAAACAATAACAGGAGTTATGGGCTCCAAGCGGTTCCGATGCAGTTTTGGTCATTACATTTTTTTCTCATATTTATAAATATACTCTTGATACACAAGTAGGCTGAATCCTTATGACAAAAGTAAAATTCGAAAAACCAAAATACCTGGTGTATGTATATTTAAATCATATTTCTGTTGATTTCATTGGCGCCAAACTTTTCAATAGCTCTCCTGTGCAACGTTGTGAGCAGTGTTGCAAATCATCAAAAACCTACTAATACATGCACATGCCATTTTGGCGGTGCACGCTTTGCAATGCTTGGTTATTTCATCTCTAAGTTTAGCGTCGTTTGCTTGCTCGCTGAGGTTTCACATTTGTAATTTGCATTCTAAGATTTATCTCTTATTTTAAATATTAAAAAATTGTAAAGAATTGCAAGTCAAGAAAATTGAAATGGATGACGATAATAACGACGCTCCACGTGGTAAGTAGCAAAGAAAGTGCTTGGCCTGCGGCTGGGTTATTTTTTTAGTTTTGTGTTAAGCAGAAAACCGTTTGAATTCAAAATGTCACGCCATGAACAGACAAAACGTGTTGTTCCGTCCTAATCTGCATGTAGGGTAAATGCCAGATAACATTATATCCTTCCATATCTTACTACTTTTAGTAACTCGCGCACGTACACGCCGCCTGTCCGTCCTGGATACAGATAGTCGCCCTTTGACGCCCATACTGGATGTGGCCGCCGACCGGGGTAAGTGCATTTTGTATTTACTGGAACGTAATCGATATTGAACGACGTTGTTGTTGTAGCATCTCCACGTCCAATGCGCAGAACTCGCTTAAACTCGGCAACAATCGATTTAAGGACTCCGACACGCGCCACCCGCTTGTCGGTGGCCCGTGGAGAGACTCCAGAGCCTGCCACCCCTACTCTGACATTGTCCTCTGTCAAACGGGGCACCCGCACACCGGCCAAATCTGTACGTAAGCAGTTGCCGTTACCAGAGGACGTAATCGAAGAAGACTCTAACACAAAGATGCAAGTGCAGAAAAAGGCTGAGCCTGACAATGACAAAATGAACGTCGTTGCCAAAGATTCTGAAGCTGCCGTTGTTGACACCAGACCTATGCAGACACAGTTGGGTACGCCACCAGATGAGAGGCGTGTGACGCGTTCAATGTCGAAAACGCCTCCGGTGATTGGACGCGCTGTAAACAATACACCTCAACAGGAATTTGATACGAAAAATTCACCTGAAGAAAAACAAAAACAAACAAAGCAGTCGATTGAAATAGCCACTGAAACTGTAGATTCGCCAGTTGAAGCACAACAGTCGATGCACTCCGATGAAGGCGTTACTAAGGAATCAGTTACTACCACTAAAGTGGGGGATAGGTCCGCACTTATGGCAACTCCCAAAGTTAAGGTCAAGGTCAAAGACATTCTAATTGGAAACCAAGAGGATATATCAAAAGTTGACAATGAGATAATTGTGTCCAATGTGGGTGTAGCCAAGAATGACGAGCCAGTCGGTATAACAGCGAAACCTATCGAAGACAAAGAGGAGATAAAGCAGTCTGCTGAGAATACTGATAAACCCTTTACAAGTGACGGTGATACATCCATGAACCAGCTTGACGTGCTGCCTGAGAGTGATGATACAGGTACTCATGCTCATGTATCCGAAGATGTCCGTTTGCCAGATCTAACACCTAATATAAAGACTCGTTTGGTAGAACAAAAACGGTCAGAGCCCATGAAGAGTGTAGGCTTCAATAGCAATGGTGAAGTTGATGAGCCTATCAAGCAGACATATCCAAAGACCCCAGCACGCGTTAGTACGCCTGCGGGAGATGTTTACAGCCTCGCGGGTCGTAAGGCTAAAAGCGAGGTAAGGGATAAGAGCGAGACGCCCTTAAAGCCCATAATCTTAAAGGGACGCAACAGCTCTACTCCTCTAGCAAAGCTAGAGCCATTATTGAGCCAAGCTAATGCGGTCAATGAGCAAAATCCGCCTCCACCACAAATTGATATGATAAAACCTCTCTCAGCGTTGGAAGACAAGGAAGAGAATGTCCAGACAGCTAAAGAGAATCCCACCCGCCGTCTTGTAAGCGAAGACGAGGATGAAGAGGAAGATGAATATGAAGAGAGTCCTGTGTGCGAGTTTTTTGACAACGAGGCAGAGGTTATTAATAATTATCAATCTGGCGACTCAATGGACAGTTCCGTCCGCCATGAGATCGAAGACAATGAAATACCGCACGATGGTGAATCTGTGGGTAGTCAGGACACATTTGATGATCACTCTGATGACAGTGCAGATGAAAAAATGTCGTTTATAGTCTCCGATAACGAAGATGACGACAATAATATTGAATCTTTGTGCTTCTCTTCTGGCTCTGAAGAAGCTGACTTGGAACCAAAGAAACGGCGTCGTATTATTGTTCATGACAGCAGTGATGACGAGGATCCTGAAGAGAATCAAGAAATTAAGAAAAATGATTCTACGGAAGAAGAAAAACTTACTGAAAAATCGATACAAATGGATAAAAATGAGAGCGATATGAATAAAGAAGCAGTTCAGCTGGCAGCCGAACAAGCAGACAAGCTATCAACATGCGAGAAATCACCGGAATTAAAGCCAAATAACTGTGATCCCCTTAACGAAACGGCGCCGCTAATTGACATGAACCTGGGCGAAGAGTTCCAAAAAGATGAGGTTCTAGCGGTAGAAGAGGTTCTTTCCAGTTCCAATGAAAGCGAGGAGCAAGAGGCTAAAAAAAATACGAGCAGGAGCATCTATGAAGTGCTCGATTCTGGTGAAGAATCAAGTGAAAACGAAGAGTATGTTTGTGATAAGCCGACACCTGACGATCATGAAACCACTAGAGAGGATGAAAAATCTAATTCAAACGAAAAACTCGCAAATTTTCATGAGTCGCCTATTGTTAAAGAAGAAAAGCCAATTTCTGGTGAAGAGAAACAAGAGGTGGTTGTCAAGTCAATGGCACCTACTAGCGAATCGTCGTCATTCCACGCAAAACAAAAACGTGAGGAAGAAGCAGCACTTCTGGGTGAGCTCTCCTCCTGCGACTTATCTCACTTGCGGCAAATGTTCAATCCCCTCCAGAAGTCGCGGCGGCAGACGCTGTACGTACAGGATCCACATAAAGCCGATAAGGAGCCGAAACCAAAATTGAAACGTCGCAGTGAACAGTTGAACAGCGATGTCAAGCCATCGCAATCGTTCATAGAAACTCTGGCCGAGGAAAAGATCCAACTGATGAAGCGCAGGCGCATGTCAAAGAGTTTTTGTGGAGCTGTCGATGGCTTGGACACCATCGAACTAACGGAAATACAAAATAAAAAGGCCAAAAACTGTGAGTCAGCAGCTAGCGATAACGAAATGGATGTTGCCGTCGAAGCTGTTAAGGAGGAACTGCCTACTCCCGCTCCCATGTCGGAAGCGAAGGCCAATGATGAACTGTCCGTAGAGAAAGTAGTCCAGCCAAAGAGTCGCAATGATTATATAGAATATTGCGATACCTTGATCCGGGCGGCAAATGAAGCGAAGCTGGAGGAGAAGAAAAAAGTAAGCCAGCCAATCAGATAACTGAATGAAACTAATTTAATTAAATTCCAAAATTCTTCAGCGTATCGCAGCGGGCAAGAAGCAAAAGAGTCGCCTGTGCGCTGCTACTCTGTCTACTTGCATCGCCGACCCCGCCAATGGCCCGTCAGTTGCCGCAGCCGCAACTAAATCGGTGTCGGAAAAGCTGACTAAGATTAAAAAGGATGTGAAACGTCTGCAAGCCACCAAGCAAGCTATCAAGCATGCCATGCAGCTGCTTGCTCCTGATGCAGCAAATAAAGGGGTGAGTTGCAAAAGAATTTTGGAGTGTCAATCCTTTACGTTGCCTTTTATAGCCCCAATCGCTGGCTCGGAAACTGTCTCCTCAACCGGATATTAATGCCAAGTCCGTAAAGTCTAAGCACCAGACGAAGACGAAGAAAAGAAAGCCCACAGTTGTACAAAAGTCCCCATTAAAGAGCTCCGACGAAGAAAATCACCATATCCCCAAACGTATTAAAACGAGTGCCGGTTATGTTACGGTCATGTCCAAGAAAGAGCGAACAAGAATTGAAACTTTTAAAACATCATCCAGCATCGTGGAAGTCGAGCCCTGCACTCCCACCC